TGCGGAACATTCGCATTGATTTTGACATTCGCATCCGCATCCGCATAAATCGACGAGGATCTGATGCGGATGCGGATTTGTAGCTGGTCGCGANGCACTAAATTCCCTACTACGTGTAAGGATGTCCAAACGTCAGCGGCGGAGCTAAATATTAAATGAAGGCCGATCACGAATGCGCGGGTTCATTGATTTATGTCGAATACTTTCGTATGAATTTTATTTTCGGTTGAAATGGAACGACGATTTGTAGCTCAGCGCACCTCGAGTTGTAAAACCTGTACATTTGCAAACTTGTTTCTAGCTATTTTATGCTAGTCTGAAGCTGCTAAAAGAATATGAGCCACCCCTCGACAAATATTCTACTAGTTTGATTAAAAATCGTATGAATATGACCTATGATCGCTTCAAGTCGTTGGCGGCAGTGAATTTCAGAGGCAAAGAAAAACCGAAGATCTAATTTTTCTCCAATCACCGCCTGTAAAACAGCGTTCGTACTAACACATTTATGGCATGCTATTCAATTGGCAACACGATTTCCTAACCGCTGTCTGCAATTGTTCGTACACATACTGCAAAGGTACTATAGCCACACCCGTGTCGAGAAGGTAGTAGTAGGAAAACGAATTCCACTCTGCAACTTTGTGTTCAAACCCTGTAAAGTGCAAAGGTACGCGTGTCGAGGGGCAGTGGCGGGGCAAGACCTAAATTTGATGTGGGCAAGACAGATTTCGCGAGGCCTTTTTCTGTGGCGACCTGAAGACGGATTTTATATAAAAAAAAAAAACGGGTCAACGGTCTATTCATTGACTAGTTTCTGATTTCTTGATTCAGTGATTATTTTTAAAGGAATATTGCGCCAAAGAATAATGTTCGTCACTTAAAACCGTGTTGTTGCTTAATTTTGTGTCTGATTATGGCTGAATTTGTTTGGAAAAAAATATACTTTTTTAACTACACTCGCGAGCAAAACTATGGAATCACTTACATGAAGTTGTTTCCACGCGAACTTGTGTACTAACGAATTTGTTAGTAACAAAAAAAGTAGCACCATTTTTAAGATTAAACTTTTATCTTTAAATTGATACCAAATTCATTTAAATCACACCAGTATTTAAAAAGATATCGCGGCTGATGTGAAGAAGTAACGAAAAAGACATGTATGAACTGTTTGATACGTCGCGAGTTGGGGCCTATTTACCCCCTATAAAAGCACGCGTTTTCGGATTTTTGCTTTCACACGTTGATTCATACACATCTCCGCTTCTTTTGACACTTTACCTGGGATTCTACACCTTCAGAAGCAGCACAAATCGTTGCACTATTGCAAGAAGGGCTCAGTCAGCGGGCTGTCGCACGTCAGCGCCACATAAGCCAGTCCTGGGTTTCGAAAGTTTTAAGACGCTTTCGGGAGACTGGTGGCTTTATCCCGAGACCAAGTTCTGAACAGCGCAGGCGCACATCGCAGAGGGAAGACCGTTTTTTCATGTCAACCTCTCTATGAAATCGTCATTTGACTGGAATCGATGTCCATCAAGAGCTCAGAAATGTTCGTAAGATAGCTGTTAGCAAGTGGACAGTTCGTCTAAGATATAAGCAATAGAATTTGACTCCAAAAAGGCCTGCCACAGGCTCAAAACTGACGACTGGCTTATGTGGCGCTGACGTGCGACAGCCCGCTGACTGAGCCCTTCTTGCAATAGTGCAACGATTTGTGCTGCTTCTGAAGGTGTAGAATCCCAGGTAAAGTGTCAAAAGAAGCGGAGATGTGTATGAATCAACGTGTGAAAGCAAAAATCCGAAAACGCGTGCTTTTATAGGGGGTAAATAGGCCGCAACTCGCAACGTATCAAACAGTTCATACATGTCTTTTTCGTTACTTCTTCACATCAGCCGCGATATCTTTTTAAATACTGGTGTGATGTAAATAAATTTGGTATCAATTTAAAGATAAAAGTTTAATCTTTAAAATGGTGCTACGTTTTTTGGTCCTCACAAATTCGTTAGTACACAAATTCGCGTGGAAACAACTTCATGTAAGTGATTCCATACTTTTGCTCGCGAGTGTACATTGTTTAGCTATCAAGAATTTTTATTTAATAGTCAATGTTTGCATTTATTGTCGTATTGTGATATTGTCATCTCCACCTTGTATACATTTTTTCAAAATTTTTGATGCGCGAGGCCCCTTGTTCCGCGAGGCCGTAGGCGGTGGCCCACGTCGCCTACGCCTTACGCCGCCTCTGTCGAGGGGTGGCAAGAGTAACTAATCGCAACCGCTGTATGAAACTTTTCGTCCACCTTTTCTGGGAAAAAAATACTGAGCTTTCACGCGCGTCGAGGAGTTTGTAAGAAAACTGATGGGAACCGCCGTCTAAAACGTTTCGATCACCTTTGCAAAAGCAAAGGTAAGAATAAGAATGTATTTGCTTCAAACATGGTACTAGGCCTACACGCGTGTCGAGTAGTTAGTAAACAAATTCCACTCTGCAACTGTGTCATTCTGCAAAAGTACTAGGGAGTACACGCGTGTCGAGGGGTGGCAAAAGTAACTAAAGGCAAACAGGCAATAACTGTTCGTTCGTCTTTACATTGGCAAAAGTACTAGACCTACACGCACACGTATTGGAAGAGTTGGTAAGAAAACTAACTCTACTCTGCAACTGTCATCCTGCAAGAGTACTAGGGCTACACGCGTGTCGAAGAGTTGGTAAGAAAACTAACTCCACTGCAACTGTCATCCTGCAAAAGTACTAGGGCTACACGCGAGTCGAGGTTTGGCAAAACTAACTAAAGACACAGTCAAGTTCGTTCGTCATTTCTGGGGCAAAGATACTAGGCCTGCACGCATATCGAAGAGTTGGTAAGAAAACTAACTCCACTGCAACTGTGTCATCGTGCAAAAGTACTAGGGCTACACGCGTGTCGAAAGACACACAGTCAACAACTTTTCGTTCGTCTTTTCTAGGGCAGATACTAGGCCTGCACGCATTTCGAGGAGTTGGTAAAAAAACTAACTCCACTTTACAACTATCATCCTGCAAAAGTACTAGGGCTACACGCGTGTCGAGGGGTGGCTTAAGTAACTAAAGTCAACAACTGTTCGTTCGTCTTTTCTGGTGCAAAGGTACCAGGCCTGCACGCATTTCGAGGAGTTATTAAGAAAGAAAACTAACTCTACTCTGCAACTGTCATCTTGCAAAAGTACTAGGGCTACACGCGTGTCGAGGGGTGGCAAAAGTAACTAAAGACACACACGCCTGAATTCACAAACGATGCTTGCTTAATAGTCCAGTCAAATTAGACATGAACCCTGCAATAATTCGCATACAGCTGAAAATTGGTACGAATGTTCAGAGCACCATTATGAATTAACTGTGAAAAGTCCCCATCGATCCGACGTGTGCTAAAAAAAAAATTCAAGGTCAAAGTTAAAAAATACGGGTTTTTGAGATTTTCAGCCAAACGGTAAGTTTTATCACAAAACTATGTATGACAATGTTTAAGACCATACAATTATCTATCAAAATTGTCTATACACTTTCTCCTAAGAGTCAGCGTTTCTGAGATTCGATGATCCGAAGAGTCAAAAAAGTGTTTTCTTCATAACGGTCTTACACATAAATCCAATGTGATATCGCCTCGTGCCACGATTCAGCATTGTATCATGACGTTGTCGACGTCGAATATAAAATAATCAACCTCAATGTCGTCTGTCATCTTTAATTGTCGAAAAATGGGTGCAACTTTAACGAAGGACTGCACCGTGAGTTTCTAAGATACGAAGTTTTCGTGTCTATTATGTTTAAGAGCTCTTATATGCACACGTCACTACTCTACTTGTAACTCTATGGTCATTCTTTTAGCCCGACCAAGTTAGACAGTCCAGGTTATAATAATTCACATAGAGCTGAAAATTTGTGTGAATGTTAAGAACACCATCCTAAATGAAATGTCAAAAGTCCCCGACGATCCGTCATTTAAAAAAAAAGTTTTCGAAGTCCCAAGTTTTTTGCATTTTTTGGCCAAGTAGTAAATTTATCATAAAAATAGATAAGAAATAATAGTAGATAATAAAATTATCTATTAAAATTGTCTTTACCCCTTTTTCCCAAGAGTCACCGATTATGAGGTAGAACGATTCACCCGTTCACGCGCACTAAGAGACCTCATAGTAATGTTTGTGAATACGGGCGACCGTCAACTTTCGTCTTTTCTGGGGCAAAGATACTAGGCCTGCACGCATTTCGAAGAGTTGGTAAGAAAACTAACTCCACTTTACAACTGTCATCCTGCAAAAGTACTAGGGCTACACGCGTATCGAAGAGTTGGTAAGAAAACTAACTCCGCTTAACTGTCATCCTGCAAAAGTACTACTACTACACATTTCGAAGAGTTGGTAAGAAAACTAACTCCACTTTCCAACTGTCATCCTGCAAAAGTACTAGGGCTACACGCGCATCGAGGGGTGGCAAAAGTAACTAAAGTCAACAACTGTTCGTTCGTCTTTTCTGCGGCAAAGATACTAGGCCTGCACGCATTTCGAGCTGTTGTTACGAAAGAAAACTAACTCCACTCTGCAACTGTCATCCTGCAAAAGTACTAGGGCTACACGCGTGTCGAGGGGTGGCAAAAGTAACTAAAGGCAAACAGGCAATAACTGTTCGTTCGTCTTTTCTGGGGCAGATACTAGGCCTGCACGCATTTCGAGGAGTTGGTAAGAAAACTAACTCCGCTTTACAACTGTCATCCTGCAAAAGTACTACTACTACACATTTCGAAGAGTTGGTAAGAAAACTAACTCCAATTTAAAACTGTCATCGACGCGTGTCGACGGGTGGCATAAGTAACTAAAGTCAACAACTGTTCGTTCGTCTTTTCTGGGGCAAAGGTACCAGGCCTGCACGCATTTCAAGGAGTTATTAAGAAAGAAAACTAACTCCACTTTCCAACTGTAATCCTGCAAAAGTACTAGGACTACACGTTTATCAAAGAGTACATACCGTAGCTGCCGTATCCCTGGGCCGGCGGCTGCGTGTGCTGCGTGTAGTTGTTGGTGGCGGGCCAGGCGGGCGCGTGAGGCGGGGCCTGGGGCGCCGGGGGCGCGCCCCAGCCTTGGTAGTTGCCGGGGCCCGCGCCCGCGCCCGCTGCGCCGTAACCCGCGTACGACGTCTGCCCTGGAGACGTGCCCCAGCCTTGGTAGCTGCGGGATAATGGACGTTGAGTTAACCATGTTTGAGACTAAAGTGCTATGAGGGGTATGCTCGGTGTTTCTTTACGAGATCGAATCAGAAATGAGGAGAGCCTTGGTAGCTGTAGGATAATGGACGTTGAGTATATCATGTCCTTGGTAGCTGTAGGATAATGGACGTTGAGTATATCATGTTTGAGACTAAAGTGCTATGAGAGCTATGCTCGGTGTTTCTTTACGAGATCAAATCAGAAATGAGGAGAGCCTTGGTAGCTGTAGGATAATGGACGTTGAGTATATCATGTCCTTGGTAGCTGTAGGATAATGGACGTTGAGTTAACCATGTTTGAGACTAAAGTGCTATGGAGAGGGCTATGCTCAGTGTTTCTTTACGAGATCGAATCAGAAATGAGATCCGTAAACAAACTAAAGTCGCTGACATAGCCCGACGGATTATCAAGCTAAAGTGGCAATGGGCACGGCACATAGTACGCGGAACTGACGCCCGATGGGGCAGCAAGGTTCCGGAGTGGAAGCCGCGTATCAGAAAACGCAGCGTAGGACGTCCACAAGGTGGACCGACGACATCATAAAGGTAGCAGGAAGGAGCTGGACGCAGGCCGCTACCAATCGGGCAGCGTGGCATGGCAAGCATTGGGGAAGGCCTATGTTCAGCAGTGGACGTCCTATGGCTATCATGATGATGATGATATACTACGACTAAAATTACGTGTGTAATGCTTGTTTTCACCATCAATCTTTAATTTTTAAATGACCACTTTGAAAACAAAATTCCTGTTAAGTGTTACAATAGGGGTCACTTACAAATTAGGGATTGATGGTGAAAACGGGCAGAAGTCTATGGCTTAACTGAATGAACGCCTGAGGTATTGCAGCGGCACGGCAAGGTTTTGAGACGTGAGGAAGTCAGCGGGACTTCAAATATGCTTCAAAGTATGTTCTGTCACGTCATAATAAATGTCAATGTCACATCTTCCGTGCCGCTCCCATACCTGAGGCACTGACTCAGTTACAAACAGTGATAGTAGTAACTAAGAACAAACTTCAAATTACTGAAGTAGGGTCATAGAAACACAAACTTGAAGTTAAAGAAGTATTCTGTTCATGTCATGGACAGAGAAGTCTTATCATTTTAATTATAATTACGTAGATAATAACTATTAATTGTTATTTCCTCAACCATGCAAGATAGAAAGAAAGAACTGTCTGTTGAAAGAATTTCTGTATTGCTCGCAGCATGCTGGTGGATGTGAGATAGAAATTCTCGTATTCTGAATGTGTTGCAAATAGGTCAACTCAAATGTCCATGTGAACAAGAGATCTTATGTATTTGCCCTTTTCTGTCCCACAAACATCTGAACGTACCAACAGTAAGTCTGCTGAGGGCACTGCCTGGATGTGGATTTTATCATTTCGTTCTCAATATAATTGCAATAAAAGATACTCATACTTTGTTTGTCATATTATCTGATTAATCAAATCTTCCATTCAAATAGTGTGATTAATTTCTAAATATAATTTCATAAATATTCAAGACTTCAATCAAGATAACATAAGATATGAAATAAGTAATCTAGGTTTCCAAGCCAATAAAAATCAGTCTTTTTTTTACTGCAGCTACTTATGAAAGGCAACAATCTGTTTAGGTACCTATTAAGTCTACTACTACTGTATTCTTTGTATGATATGCTTGGGTTCGATTTGAGTTTCGATATTTGTTTCAGTAATTAGAAAGTCTGAAGTTTCACGTCGCCAATGAAGAATGTTCACTAATTTTGTTTTTTAGCTTTCTGTATTCTCTGTTAAAAATAAAAAATACACGTGAAAGAATTATTTCGATACGTTAATTAGTTTCCAAGATATTGAATTTTAAAAGTGCGGGCGGCGGCCGGCCCGCCATTTTATGCGCGTGACGTCATATTACAACGACTGGCTCATATTTGTATGGGTGGAATCTTGCAAACTGAATTAAGACCCACTTCCAGGCAACCGATTAAGCTGAAATTTCGCAAACACATGTGATTTGGATGACCATGCAATATTATGATGACATGGAGCTGATCTGATGATGGAGCTGGAAGGTGGCCATAGGAACTCTATAATAAAACGACTTAAATGCATCGAGTTTGGGCTCGTTCGTTTTGTATTGATGAGTATTTTAATTCTATATAGTAATCGGGGTCTAATGATGGAGCTGGAAGGTAATTCGCAATAAAACGACACAATCGCATCAAGTTTGGGTTTGGTTCAATTTTAATTTCTGTGATGGGTCTGGGTGTTAATATGTATAATAAGTTTGTATTTACAAAAAAAAAAATTTAAGTATGTTTATATCCGTTTTCTAGTGAGCGGACGCTGTGAATGTACGTCACACGGGGTCACGTGACCGTCGGCGGGACTCAATATTTAAGCGAACTTTGAATGCCTATAAAATCATAACTACTGGGTATTTTTGAATGAAATAAAAACTAATGTATTTGTAAATGTAAAAGCTTAACTGTAACATAGGTTTCAAGTGATTTTGCATACCTAGTAACATTATCAATTCACCCCTAGTGGACCTAAAACTCGCTAACTACTAACCCTTGCATGATGTTAGGGCCAGCCATCGGCATGTTGATCAAAATCAAAATCAAAAATCAAAATCAAAAAATATTTATTCAGTTTAGACCACAAGTGGCACTTATGAACGTCAAAACGATGACGACGAACGATGATCGGGGGGCCGCCCATCTGGCCGTTGTGGCCCTGGATCATGCTAATGGGGCCCCACTTGCCCGCTTGTGGTGCTAATTCCTCCCTAATACAAAAACAAACTCGCCAAAAACTTACCCTTGCATGATGTTAGGGCCAGCCATCGGCATGTTGATCGGGGGGCCGCCCATTTGGCCGTTGTGGCCCTGGATCATGTTGATTGGGGCCGCGGCCGGGGGGCCCCATTGACCCGCCTGTGGCACTAATTCCCGCCTAATATACCCACCCACAAGCTCGCCAAAAACTTACCCTTGCATGATGTTAGGGCCAGCCATCGGCATGTTGATCGGGGGGCCGCCCATTTGGCCGTTGTGGCCCTGGATCATGTTGATGGGGGCCGCGGCCGGGGGGCCCCATTGGCCCGCCTGTGGCACTAATTCCCACTCAATACACCTACAAACTCGCAAAAAACTTACCCTTGCATGATGTTAGGGCCAGCCATCGGCATGTTGATGGGGGGACCGCCCATCTGGCTGTTGTGGCCCTGGACCATTTTGATGGGGGCCGCGGCCGGGGGGCCCACTGGCACACTTGCGGCGCTAATTCCTACAAAGTCGTCACAAACTTACCCTTGCATGATGTTAGGGCCAGCCATCGGCATGTTGATCGGGGGGCCGCCCATCTGGCCATTGTGGCCCTGGATCATGTTGATGGGGGCCGCGGCCGGGGGGCCCACTGGCACACTTGCGGCGCTAATTCCTACAAAGTCGTCACAAACTTACCCTTGCATGATGTTAGGGCCAGCCATCGGCATGTTGATGGGGGGCCGCCCATCTGGCCGTTGTGGCCATGGATCGTGCTAATGGAGCCTAACTGGCCCGCCTGCGGCGCTAATTCCCATCTAATATACCCACAAACTCGCCAAAAACTTACCCTTGCATGATGTTAGGGCCAGCCATCGGCATGTTGATCGGGGGGCCACCCATTTGGCCGTTGTGGCCCTGGATCATGCTAATTGATGGGGGCCGCGGCCGGGGGGCCCCACTGGCCCGCCTGAGGCTCTAATTCCCCCCCTAATACAAATACAAACTCNCATTCTCTACTTTATTATTAAATAAAAAATGATAAATAAGGCTGTGTTTCTTTCTCTACTAAGCCAACACTTAAGTTTTTTGTACAGATCCGCATCCGCATCCGCGGATGTGAGCCTCTTAAAATCCGCATCCGCGGATGTGGAAAAAAGTGGATCCGCAACATCCCTACCACAAACATCTGAACGTACCAACAGTAAATCTGCTGAGGGCACTGCCTGGATGTGGATTGTCATTTTGTGCTCGATAAAATTGAAATTAAAGATACTCATACTTTGTTTGTCATGTTATCTGATTAATCAAATTTTCCATTCAAATAGTGTGATTAGTTTCTAAATATAATTTCATAAATATTCAAGATTTCAATCAAGATAACATAAGATATGAAATAAGTAATCTAGGTTTCCAAGCTAATAAAAATCAGTCTTTTTTTTACTGCAGCTACTTATGAAAGGCAACAATCTGTTTAGGTACCTATAAAGTCTACTACTACTGTATTGTTTGTATGATATTGCTTGGGTTCGATTTTAGTTTCGATATTTGTTTCAGTAATTAGAAAGTCTGAAGTTTCACGTCGCCAATTCACCCCTAGTGGACCTAAAACTCGCTAACTACTAACCCTTGCATGATGTTAGGGCCAGCCATCGGCATGTTGATCGGGGGGCCGCCCATTTGGCCGTTGTGGCCCTGGATCATGTTGATGGGGGCCGCGGCCGGGGGGCCCCATTGACCCGCCTGAGGCTCTAATTCCTCCCTAATACAAAATCTCGTCAAAAACTTACCCTTGCATGATGTTAGGGCCAGCCATCGGCATGTTGATCGGGAGGCCGCCCATCTGACCGTTGTGGCCCTGGCTCATGCTAATGGGGCCCCACTTGCCCGCTTGTGGTGCTAATTCCCACTCAATATACCTACAAGCTCGCCAAAAACTTACCCTTGCATGATGTTAGGGCCAGCCATCGGCATGTTGATCGGGGGGCCGCCCATCTGGCCGTTGTGGCCCTGGATCATGCTAATGGGGCCCCACTGGCCCGCCTGTGGCGCTAATTCCCCCCTAACACAAAAACAAACTCGCCAAAAACTTACCCTTGCATGATGTTAGGGCCAGCCATCGGCATGTTGATCGGGGGGCCGCCCATCTGGCCGTTGTGACCCTGGATCATGTTGATGGGGGCCGCGGCCGGGGGGCCACTGGCCCGTCTGTGGCGCTAATTCCCACTCAATACACCTACAAACTCGCCAAAAACTTACCCTTGCATGATGTTAGGGCCAGCCATCGGCATGTTGATCGGGGGGCCACCCATCTGGCCGTTGTGGCCCTGGATCATGTTGATGGGGCCCTACTTGCCCGCTTGCGGTGCTAATTCCCCTCTAATACACGTACAAACTCGCCAAAAACTATTCTAAAACTTACCCTTGCATGATGTTAGGGCCAGCCATCGGCATGTTGATCGGGGGGCCACCCATCTGGCCGTTGTGGCCCTGGATCATGTTGATGGGGGCCGCGGCCGGGGGGCCCCATTGGCCCGCCTGTGGCGCGTCGCCGGGTGCGCTCATGCCGCCGCCGCCCATGCCGCCGGATCCGGAGCCGAGCTTGCCGGAGCCGTCACGGGGCTCCGCACGCTTGATCTCCACCTAAGGGACAGATTTGAAGGGCACATACATTTCTGATGCAAAAATAACGCCTATGACAACTACATAAGATGCTACAGTGTTCTGTAATTTGTCTAAAATTTTAATTAGTCGTTTGCAGATCATTATGTTCACGGGACTCCGCACGCTTGATCTCCACCTAAGGAACAGGTTTGGAGGTGCTTAAGATTTGAAGAGTTGAGATTTGAGTACAGACATCAGCGCATACATTTTTGTTGCAAAATAACGCCTATGACAAGATGCTATTGTTCAACTGTACTTTGCCTAAAAATTTTAACTAAACAATACAATCGTTTGTGGATCATAATCGTTGCAGGGCTCCGCACGCTTGATCTCCTCTCCGCCTAGGGGACAGGTTTGGAGGTGCTGACAATCTTTGAAGAGTTAAAGAGTACAGACAACAGCACATACACTTTTCTTGCAACATAGCGCCTATTACAACTTCATAAGATGCTACAGTGTGCAAGCCGGCAGAGTAGAATACATTTGTCACTAATCACCAACCCCTACTTTTCCCGCAGGTGTCGTAAGAGGCGACTTCGTGAGTTTATTTATTTTATATTTGGAGTTTTATTATGTCGGTGAATACCTATGATTTTTACTGAACTATAAATCATTAATTTTGTTTATGTTAAAATAACAATGAAGTTGACAAACCTGCTTTCCGTTGAGGTTGATGAAATGCTCCTGAGTCACTCTCTCAACAGACATCTCATCTTCGAACGACAAGAAGCCGAAACCTAGAACAAACCACAGAACGTTGATTTTTTGTCTCACTCTAACGTGTCCAATAATAAGAAATATTATGATGGTGATATGGTTGATTACCACAGACTTTGTCCTAAGTGTTCTTTGGCGATGAGTATCTACTGATGAGTTCTAAACAGGATAGATTCTCAGCATTTTTGTAGGAAATAACTATACCTCAATTTTCACTTGAAGACCGAGGTGAAATCATTATTTGCCCTTTTCTGTCCCACAAACATCTGAACGTACCAACAGTAAGTTTACTGAGGGCACTGCCTGGATGTGGATTATAGTAATGTACATTAAACGATTCTGTTCTGATGCATCAGCTTCACCATACAATACGTCAGACATATAAATCCGGCTTCAACAGTAGTAAGCAGTAGCAGCTATCATTTAACTAAGCTAGCGCAGCGACCCAAAGTGAGTCTCATGCCCGTTTTCAACATCAATCCCTTATTTTTAAGTGACCCCTATGGTTACATATAACAGGCATTTTGTTTTCATAGAGATCTCTTAAAAATAGGGATTGATGATGAAAACGGGCATTAGCTTCCGAAAATAAGAGCAGTCATCAGTCTGTTTTCGAGATGGCGCAAGTCCTCAGAGACTTCAGTCTTCCCAGCGGTGCCTGGGACGACGAACCGATCAACGGCCACTAAGTCGTCCCAAGTACGCTTGCGTCACTGCACGATCCTCTCCCATTCTTTCTAGATGTTATCATATAACTTCCAGGCGAGAGTGAACAGGCATTTACGGGCAGGTATGTACCATCCTAGACTGCACCTCATCATCATGCAACTACAGTCAAATACCTGCTTTGTGCTGCTAAAAAAAGTATAATAAACAAGTTCTTAATACACACCCCTGGACTTCTTCTTCTCCTGATCGTACATGATGACGACCTCCATGACCTTGCCGTAGCGGCCGAAGAAGACCCTAAGATCGGTCTCCGTGATGTTAGACGGCAGACCGCCAAGGAAGACCTTGGGGTAGCCGCCGCCGCGCTTCGGCTTCTGAAGCGTGCGAGGGTTGCACGGCTTCGGGTCAATAGTCCTGTGGAAGGGAGGGGGTTTAGTCAAGGGGGAATAAACTTCTATTAGGGGGTGCGCAAACGTACACATTTTGTTACTGACGCGGCGCACCATGCTATCACAGGAAGACGATTTGTTGTTTTGTGTCAAGTAGAAGCAATTGGACACACAGTATCTACGTCTGCGCAAAGAGCGACTGATTGTTGATTATATGGAAACTAGCGGCCGCCCGGGACTTCGTACGCGTGGATCCCGTTTTACCCCCTTAGGGGTCGAGTTTTGCAAAATCCCGTCTTAGTGGCTAATTTGGAACTCCTAGCACTTGTAGTTTCTGAGATTTCGTTATGAATGAGTCAGTCAGTGACCTTTCGCTTTTTTAAATAAGATATTCACTGATGGCTTTTATACCGTACAAGATAAGTGTCTTCATTTGATCTGCCTCTTGTATTAACCATGCTAGCTCGCGCGAGGTCAGGGAAAGATTAAAGTGTCATCAGGGACATGTTTTAAGTCACATTCATGCTCAATTACTCCCGCATACATTGTGATTTTGCTACTGGTTATTGATGCGTACAATTTGTATTTCGCAGGAAGCACCTGGATGCGGGCAGCGCAGGATCTGCTGTTATGGAAATTCTTGGCTTTTAGCCAACAGTGGACGTGTTACGGTTAAAACTAATGTAAGAATTTGTTTTCTACACAAATATAAAGATTAAGCAGTTTTGGAATGAAGATATGGATGGTATCTCAGGCGCTCGTAATCGAATCTCGATAAAAGCCACGAAATTTAAATTCGTGCATGAAAGTTATTCGTGCACGGATATCAAAATAACGGTAAAATTATAATCGACACAGGTTATTTTGGTAGGGGTAAGTGATATCATATTTCATTTGATTACAAAATTCGTGTTGCTTGGTGGAGTAATAATATTTCGTCCAATACAAACGAGTTTCATGGCGAGGAAAATATTTAAAAGCAATTAACGTGATCATGTTAATGATGATGCATCCGTTTGGAAATGATTTTTGTAATTAAACTAATATTGTTGAGTTATTTTTGTGTTTGCACTAGTAATCAAACAAAGGTTGAGATTTGCTTTGTAAAATTTTCATCGCTTTATTATATTATGTAGATAATGACAATTATCTTAATGTCAATGAATGTTAAATCCCCGATAAGTTCTAACGACCTCGGATGCAAATAAAAACCGTGAGACAATGTTCTTTCGTGGCCGTGTAAATATGAATGGGCAGAGAAGATGGCGGATCTTACAACATTAAAAAGACATACTATTCCCAAACAAATTGCTTCATAATAAGACTGACTAGTTTTACTTAACCGTACAAACGATTTATCCGTTTATTGCAAACCAGTAAACGCGGGTGATTTCGTTTCTAGCACTAATTACAGTTTGCCTAACAATTAATGTGTTTCGCTACTTTTGATGATGAAGAATTTACGTCTGCGTTTTCGTTCAAACTACCAGCTGGGGTTTATTGTATGGACTTACATGTAAATAAAGGTTATTTTTCTCCGGAATCTTTTGCAAACATAAAAAAGTTACCTGTCCTGTCAATTTTTTGCTGCATCAGTCCCCTATAGCGCACAATAACAACAGACTGGATGGATGGGGTGTACGCAAAGTGGATAGTGGATACTAAACAAAAGGACCGCAGTTGCGAGATTTTCAAAATCAAACAAGCAAGGGGCTGTCTATAGAGAATATAGACAAGTGCCTACAGTTCGTTTCGACAATGGCGACATTATTATGTATGATGTTCATTGAACTCCATTTGTATCGAGAACTTAAGAACATTTCAGACTAGTAATTGAAAATATCACGCGACGTGGTTAATATTATTTTATAACGTGTCAATTATACGTTTACATTTCAGCGTTCGAGAAACAAAAATAACGTTTCCTAATCCATTTAAAAAACTAGCTTTTTAAGGTTCTGTAGCCAAATGGCAAAAAACGGAACCCTTATAGATTTGTCATGTATTTGTTTTCGATTTCACTGCACGTAATCTAAGTTTAGGGATTATCTACCTACACTTACCCCTGAGAAACATCTTCACCCACAAACTTAATGAAATTCTAAAAGAAGGACTCTTAATTACCCACTAAATTAATTCCATCTAAGGACCACAAAACCTAAAAGTAAATGAGTTTACATCGGAAATTTCACATGCTTTTACTTAGATGGACTAAAAACGTTAACTTGTGATTTTCCATTGGTTATATTTAGCTTGTGCCTTGTACATAAATTTTATGTACAAGCTAAGTTTAACCAACGTAAGTGCTTATTTCTTAGAAAAAATACAATTGACGTCATCAATACAGCTCTTGGTGGAATGTTGGCAACTTTTTAATTTGTAAAGTTGTCGCGGGCTGCGTAGGTACTCCGAACTCTGAACTACAACAAAGTTGGCGAAGGAAGCCACAGTGGTTCAAATCACGTTTTTAGCTTTGTTAAAATGGAAGGGGCATGAGGAGTCATGCCAGCTACTGGTAAAATTATTTTTAACTAGCTTTCCGCCCGCGGCTTCGCCCGCGTGGAATTTTGTCTGTCACAGAAAAACTTTATCGCGCGTTTCTCCCTGTTTCAAAAACCGGGATAAAAACTATCCTATGTTCTTTCCCGGGACTCAAACTATCTCTATGCCAAATTTCATCAAAATCGGTTGCGAGGTTTAAGCGGGAAAGCGTAACAGACAGACAGACAGACAGACAGAGTTACTTTCGCATTTATAATATTAGTTGGGATTTTTAAACTGTACCCGACTGGATGCAGGCCGCTACTAACCGGTCAGGAATCATTGGGCTTATGTTCAGCAGTGGACGCCCTATGGCTGAAATGATGATGATGATGATCTATTGTATTGATTTTGTAGCAGGTATTATAGGCTCTCATGTTCACAGGAACAAGGAGTATATGCTGACCTGCGCATTTCTATCCCACAAACATCTGAACGTACGGTCAACAAAACAAGTTGAAAGCACTGCCTGGATGTGGAAAAACATTAAAGTTAGTTGTTGCAGTTTTTATCACTCTCAATGACTTATATTATAACTAATATTATAAATGCGAAAGTAACTCTGTCTGTCTGTTACGCTTTCCCGCTTAAACCTCGCAACCGATTTTGATGAAATTTGGCATAGAGATAGTTTGAGTCCCGGGAAAGAACATAGGATAGTTTTTATCCCGGTTTTTGAAACAGACAAAATTCCACGCGGGCGAAGCCGCGGGCGGAAAGCTAGTATTATAATATAAAGTAAGTAAGCTGTGGTAAATGATGCTGATGTTGAATTTACTGATTTTTTCAATTCGATTTCTTAAGCAACATTGTATTCAACATTGTTTTTTTACCCTAATAAAGTAAAAAAAAAAAAAAACATGCCATGGACTCATGCCTAGACAAGATCTACCGTAAATGGGTAAAAAATCTGACTTTGCTTTCGTCATACTCGTACAAAAAAAAAACACTTTTTATGATGACATTTTTACATAATGTGCCCTGAGTGCCCGAGCAACTGCACGCAGGAGGATTTAATGAATGCTGCTGACAACGCCACTCTTGTAGCGGAGTTTTGGGCTGACACTGTGTAGGTTTGATGTCGACACGATAAGAACATTTTTTATTCAGTTGAAATAATTTGTTAAAAATGTTGTGAAGGCGTTGAATACGGGATTGTAGCGTTGCAATTTTGGCTGTTTTCACAAATTGATATTTCTTCTCGATATTTGGATTTAGGATACCACTAGCGACATCTATTGGCGTGATTTAGAATTAATTTGCAATAGATGGCGCTTTTTGCTCAGTCAATTCAAATATATTTTATTGAAACATTTCCTAATGTTTTTATTGTGGTTATTCTATTTTTTAATAGAATATTTTCAGTGTTCAGGATAGGGCATGAATATCGGAATCTCGGAATCTCGTAATATCGGAATCTCGGACTGCGAGATCCGATATTTCAATTCCGATATTGAGCGACCCAATATCGTAATATCGGAATCAGATAAAAGTTTTAATTGAGATTTTAAACAAAGCGTTTAAACTCGCCACAACCTGCCACAAAGCCCAAAAGAACATGATTGGCAAATACCAATGATTTTCTCATGTCTCTCACCATCACTTTTTGTTCCACTGCAAATATTTTAATATCTTTACTATTTATGGTTAATTTAACTTGTTCTAAATCTATTTTAGCATTTGCCATAGGTACTTGGTCAACAAAGAACGACATCTCAACTCCCTTTCAAACATTAATTTTACTGGCCTATGGACCGTCAGTTCTGCGTACTATGTGCCCTGCCCATTGCCACTTCAGCTTGCTAATCCGTCAGGCTATATCAGCGACCTTAGTTAGTTTACGGAGTTCCTCATTTCTGATTAGATCTCGTAAAGAAACACCAAGCTTATCCCTCTCCATAGCACGTTGTGCCCTATATTCAAAGGCCACGTTTTCGAGCCGTATATCATCACTGGTAACACACACTAATTGAAGACTTTCATCTTCGTATTCGACGATTTACCTCTTTCTCGAAATTGCATCTAACTACCTAGCTGATCGTTTGTCCGAGATAGACATACTTCTTGTCAACAATCTCGAGAATCGAACTCCTAACCGAAACTGGGTAAGGAGCAACATGGACATTCGACATAAGCTTCGTTTTTTCCATATTCATCCGAAGGCCTACCTGTAGGGAAACTCGATTAAGGTCTTCGAGCATTGTGATAAGGTCTTCCAACGGTTCTGCCTTAGTACGCAAAACAGACGGATGAAGAGGCAGCAAGGTTCTGACGTGGAGGCCACGTACCGGAAAGCGCAGCGTAGGACAAAGTGGACCGACGACCTCATAAAGGTAGCAGGAAGGCGCAGGCCGCCACCAACCGGCCATTGTGAAAATCAGCATCGGAGCCTGTGTTCAGCAGTGTACAATGTACATCCTATGGCTGAAATGATGATGATGATGGCTTGTGGTTTTGTGAGTTGTACATCGATAACAAAAAGGAACAAATTACAAGCNTTAAACTAATATTTTTGAGTTATTTTTGTGTTTGCACTAGTAATCAAACAAAGGTTGAGATTTGCTTTGTAAAATTTTCATCGCTTTATTATATTATGTAGATAATGACAATTATCTTAATGTCAATGAATGTTAAATCCCCGATAAGTTCTAACGACCTCGGATGCAAATAAAAACTGTGAGACAATGTTCTTTCGTGGCCGTGTGAATATGAATGGGCAGAGAAGATGGCGGATCTTACAACATTAAAAAGACAGAATTTCCAAACTAATGGCTTCATAATAAGACTGACTAGTTTTACTTAACCGTACAAACGATTTATCCGTTTATTGCAAACCAGTAAACGCGGGTGATTTCGTTTCTAGCACTAATTATAGTTTGCCTAACAATTAATGTGTTTCGCTACTTTTGATGATGAAGAACAATTACGTCTGCATTTTCGTTGAAACTACCAGCTGGGGTTTATTGTATAGACTTACATGTTATGCTCTTGTAAATAAAGTTTATTTTTCCCCAGAATCTTTGCAAACATAAAAAAAGTTACCTGTCCTGTCGATTTTTTGCTGCATCAGTCCCCTATAGCGCACAATAACAACAGACTGGATGGGGTGTACACTGTACGCAAAGTGGATACTAAACAAAAGGACCGCAGTTGCGAGATTTTCTAAATCAAACAAGCAAGGGGCTGTCTATAGAGAATATAGACAAGTACCTACAGTTCGTTTCGACAATAGCGACATTATTATGTATGATGTCCATTGAACTCCATTTGTATGGAGAACTTAAGAACATTTCAGACTAGCAATTGAAAATATCACGCGACGTGGTTAATATTATTTTATAACGTGCCAATTATACGTTTACATTTCAGCGTTCGAGAAACAAGAATATAACGTTCTTAACCCGTTTAAAAAAACTAGCTTTTTAGGGTTTCGTAGCCAAATGGCAAAAAACGGAACCCTTATAGATTCCTCATGTCTGTCTGTTTTCGATTTCACTGCACGTAATCTAAGTTTAGGGATTATCTACCTACACTTACCCCTGAGAAACTTCTTCACTCACAAACTTAATAAAATTCTAAAAGGACTCTTGGTTACCCACTAAAGTAATTCCATCTAAGGACCTCAAAACCTAAAATTAAATGAGTTTACATCGGAAATTTCACATGCTTTTACTTAGATGGACCAAAAACGTGTTCCATTGGTTATATTTAGCTTGTGCCTTGTACATAAATTTTGTATACAAGCTAAGTTTAACCTACGTAAGTGCCTATTTCTTGGAAAAAAATACAATTGACGTCATCAATACAGCTCTTGGTGGAATGTTGGCAACTTTTTAATTTGTAAAGTTGTCGCGGGCTGCGTAGGTACTCCGAATTCTGACCTACAACCTACAACAAAGTTGGCGAGCCACAGTGGTTCAAATCACGTTTTCAGCTTTGTTGAAATGGAAGGGGCATGAGGAGTCATGCCAGCTACTGGTAAAATTATTTTTAATTTGTAAACTGTACCCGACTGGATGCAGGCCGCTACTAACCGGTCAGGAAATCATTGGGCTTGTGTTTAGCAGTGGACGCCCTATGGCTGAAATTGATGATGATGATCTGTCTATTGTATTGATTTTGTAGCAGGTATTATAGGCTCTCATGTTCACAGGAACAAGGAGTATATGCTGACCTGCGCATTTCTATCCCACAAACATCTGAACGTACAGTCAACAACACAAGTTGAAAGCACTGCCTGGATGTGGAAAAACATATGCCATGGATTCATGCCTAGACATGGTATACAGATCTACCGTAAATGGGTAAAAAATCTGACTTTGCTTTCGTCATACTCGTAAAAAAAAACACTTTTTATGGTGACAATTTTACATGATGTCGTGCCCTGAGTGCCCGAGCAACTGCACGCAGGAAGATTTAATGAATGCTGCTGACAACGCCACTCTTGTAGCGGAGTTTTGGGCTGACACTGTGTAGGTTTGATGTCGACACGATAAGAAGAACATTTTTAACCAGTTGAAATTAATTTGTTAAAAATGTTGTGAAGGCGTTGAACACGGGATGCCGAATAATTGCAGAACATTAGAGATGTTGCAAGTTAACATTCCTAATCAAATTGATAGTTAAGAATCAGCTAAACAGTCTACCTTACGTATGAAGATATTTTATGCAGAATGTATTCATTCACGTTTTTGTTTTAACACTATAAATAAATAAGTTGGATGTTTTCAGTAGTATGTTACTGACACATAATAAAAAAACTTCCTACGTCAACACTTCGAAATGCAACAACAACAGTTTGGTTCAAACACCAATCTCGGTTATGCTATTTTTAGAGTAGATAAAAGGAAAAACCGATGTCGTTACCACAAAAGGTAACGTGCGGAAATCGCGCTGATTTTTATTGAACAAAAATAAACCTAAGTTAATGGTAATTAAATCCACATGTTGCTACGTGGCGTATGACTCGTAAGGCATGGACCTTTTCGTGGTTAAGGTTATGTCGTAAGCGCCACACACGTTACAGAATTGATATTAATTAAGACATAAATCGAAATTTTTGCAGCTGTTAAATTGCGTAAAAGGAAATTTCGTTTACTATTAGAAAGAATAATGATAATTTAATAATTATTCGCCAAATCCTTAGAAGATTAAGTCTCGTCTGTCCATAAAATTTAATTACATTGGGTTATAAATCTACCAGACGTCAGACTAGGTTTCTCGTCTGAACTTAGGGCCGGTATTAATAAACAAAGCTTAATTTTGAGTGTCGTTGTATACGTACGCTATTTAAAAACTCGAAGCGAGTAACGATGGCTCCTGTGATTAAAGTACCGGTTCAGAGACCTTGTGTATCTTGTTGAAATCAGGGTCATGCAAATTACAATTCCAAAAAAATAATCGCAACAGTAAAGAACTGGACGTCCATCAAAGTGATTTAAAAAAACACGAAATAATTTTTAAACAACACAATTTTAGGAAGCGATACAAGAGAAAGCATCCGAACATTTTACTATGAACAAAAGAATAACCAACAGCTGATTTCTAGTGACAAAACAATAACCAAGTCTGATAGTTATAACGGTATCCGTCTTCTGGAGCAGAAATAAATCACAAAAATATCATTATTTTTTTATTTCCACCGCGTCCCTTGAATCAAAAATATCCGACCGGAGTCACCAGACCACGTCCGTAATAATGACATCTGTCGTGCTCGTGATTATTTCGGTAAAGGCAACAAACGCTAAAACGTATATTCGTGGATCGGTTTGGTATTTTGGAACTGGGTCACTTTGTGTACTTAAACCGTTTTAGGTTATCAAAGTTAGGAGAGGTTTATAAAGCGGCGACAGTTCCGAAAGGATTGTGTACAGTTAGTAGACATCAGACTGCATTTCGTTGCATAATAACACGTATTACAATTCCTTAAAGTGCCACATTACCTTGATGTGCCGTTATCCGTACGCGGTGTCAAAGGGGCGGCCGGTCGTGTTAAAAGGGGCTGCCATTTTGTCGTTAATGTCAATAACCACGTGACTAGTATTAAAAGGCATATTCCTCCAATAACTGACACAATCGAAGTCTTTATGCCAACACACACATCTCTTATTTGTACAGCATGTACACGACCTCAATAAAACAGACTTACTGATATAAATATGTATTAACAATTTAATCTATGTGGGTCATTGGATTTGTCCTTTAGAACTCAAATTATCGGTTTTATTTGCAAATAAGTAACCAAAAATTATCGTTTTCAAGATCTACCGTGCAAAAGATGACCATGATTTTAAAAATAAATAGTTGTTGATTTTAATTGTAAAAAGTACTTACCTGATAATTTTCTGCGATATCACTAAAGATGATGACACAGAGGAATGACGGGACTAAAATAGAACTTTCGAAAGTGTTATGATAATTCTAGTCTGAATTTATTCATACATTCCCTTCTGACTGAATAAAGATTATGAAGGCCATTATTTCTAAGCGATCAACATTCATAAATACCAAAGCTATCGTAGTATTCTCGAAACTTCTTTAAACTTGCCATGTGGCGTCTCAGTTTATTAATACGGCCCATTGAGGCGAAAGTAAAGGTGCCAGCGCACTTGGCGGCGCCGGACCTTGATCAATTTGATACATCTGTCAGGTTAGCTTTTACCCACGGATTCGCCCGCGAGATTTCGGATCGTTTCCTAAAACCGGAATAAATAACTACTTATCCCATGTTTTCCCTGAGTGTCAAACTACTTCACAATCTCGTATGTTCATTCATTTCAGCCTAATGCCGTCCTCTGCTGTAAAAAGGACTTAAGGACTTCCCCATGGATTTCCACCAGTCCTGCGCTGCGCCGCATCCAGGTGCTTCCCATGACCTTTTTTAGGCCGTCGGTCTACTAAATGGGTAGCCTGCTTACACTATGGTTTCCCATGATATAGAAATCTCATAAACTCACATTTAATAATAATAGAAGCCGTCTAGAGGCTGCTCGATTTTTGAGGTAATCTAGATGGTTGGAGTAGGAAGATGGCTGCATCAAAAACCTTGCTTTTTGGGGTGATCTAGATTGGTTGGAGTAGGAAGATGGCCGCATCAAAAACCTCGCTTTTTGGGGTGATCTAGATTGGTTGGAGTAGGAAGATGGCCGCATCAAAAACCTCGCTTTTTGGGGTGATCTAGATTGGTTGGCGAAGGAAGATGACCGCATCAAAAACCTAAGTGCATATGATTGCATTGCTAAACTGAAATTAACAGGAGGGCTGTAGGGGTCTTCTTACCTGCCATCAAGCTGGTGGGGTCCATTCTGGAGGACCACGTTGACGAGCGACGGCTCGGCGAAGGTCACGAATCCGAATCCCCTGGAGCGGCCAGACTCGCTGTTTTTCATCACGACGCAGTCGATCACCTCCCCGTACCGAGAGAAGTAGCGCTGCAGGTTCTCCTGTGATGTCTCCCATGACAGACCACCGACGAACAGTTTTCTACACATGTAGAGAAAAATGTTTCTATTAGAATATTTCTAGTAAATCGGACACAGATGTTCACCATCTCTGAATTTGTCCTAAGTAGGTATGAAAAGGGACTTCACATTTACAAATATTAGGCTGTTGCACCACCTAACTTTAACCGAAACTATAATGATAACCGGCGTTTTTGTATGGAGTTTTATGACAAATTTTGGATATTTGTTATTATTAAAGTAAGATGATGGAACCCAGCCTTATGTTAGGATCCACTTTTCCTAGATGAATTAAATACCTACATTTTTTTTAAATTATTTTAGAATTTTTTCAGTGTAAATGTCAAAATCAAATCCACGCAAGTTGAGAAAGATATTATGAATGGCGTCAGCTGATGGGCTGACAGCACCTCTCACTCTAGCAGTTTCAAGTGACAGCTGTCCTGATTTTCTAATCCAATCTTACGTATGACATGACTGTGTGATCATGGTGTGATAGTTTTAATAAAATATATTAATTTTTATTTTCATTTGAAGCCTGATAAATTTACGCTTGCTCAAGAGCTTCAAAATGTTTGGATTGACTAGAATAGAATAATTTGGAAAGATAAATTTTTCTAAGCATGTGTTGACTCATTGTATATTTAAGTTATAGTTAGGCAGAACTGTACAGTTAGACTAAAGTAAAAAATCAGGACTTAGATAAGATAGGTTTGCTTTTTTTCCTGAAGGATGAACAGATAAGGGTCTGAGAATTCATGACTCACAGAAATAATTTTCCATGATGTATGTAAATACTTTTTAATAAAAGGCCCACATTCAAAAGTTGCGAACTTTACGGCTTGAACAAACCAAAGCTTTTAAAAGTCAAGGCAGTTGGCAACACATTTTGCAATATCAGGCAATTGAACTCTGATACGATTACTTAATCGAGAAATTAATTTGTTTTAAAGATTATTGTTTTGAATTCAAGGATAGTAACTAAGTTATTGGGCACAAACTAACTATAATGACCAGTGAAAAAATAATAATTAATTCATTTCTCTACCTATGAAAATATTTTACAGAAAGGAAAAATCCTAAGTCTCTTGATTTATATTATTTATGCTAGAATTTTAATTGTATCTAAATGGTCAAGTTTAGCCTAGACATGAAATGTTATTATTATGAAGTTTAATAAACTTTATTAAAAAATAAGAAATAAATTTAACCATTCATGAACTACACTTTCAAAAATACCACATGTTCTATAGAAATGTTAACTTGGACTCAGCACAATTACTTGAACTGGTGAAAGTTACATTCACTTTGAAACAGTTTCATTAATATCTGTGGCCTTTACATTTTATGGATATCTCAAAGTTATGGCTAATACCAAATTTGGACCAAGTTACTGTCCAAATTTTGTAAGAAGAGGGATAAAGAGTTAGGATTTCTTGTAGATAGATGTTTTGTAAGTCAAATTAATAGAAGGAAAAATAGTCGTGTTGTTTTAGGAAAGACGAAAGTCAGTTTTACAGTAATTACATCATCATAATTATTATTATTAAGGTTCAAGTTCCAACAATGTTCAACAAACAGCGGCGGACGCATGTGGTAATTATGTTTACCAAAAAAATAACACGCTCCCAGCGTCTTTGACAATAGGGAACGAACACGGGAGACGCGGCGCGGGCGTCTAGGTAACCTCATGCAAATGAATCAGCACGTTTTTAGCCTTTCTTGCGAATGAGATCGAGCAACGCGGCACTTGGACCATCGCTCTAATAACCTCATTATGCACCGCTCACACAAATCGGTAATGTTTTGTGTAAAATATGCGACACCTAATGCCCTGACGTGAATTCCGCGATAAGAGAAAGCTACGATTAGTCACAGAAAGGTTAATTTTATAAGTTACGACGTATCCACTTCACAGATGTGGGATTAAATAAACAGTTATACGAATGCCTTACGCGTAAATAAGCCATTTTATCTAGATAAAGACGAAAATTAAGCAAATTCATCATGGGAAAGTAATAGCTGCCATGATCGCTACGCAAGTCGCACGGCAAGGCTTGGGGTCGGTGGCCGCTAGCCGGTAAGAGGCAAATTGTACCCAGACGGACTTTGCCAAAGTCAAGCTTCTGAACATCATCATACAATGTGAAAATCATCGCAATCACATAGTTTTTACACATCACGAACCAATACGTAACGCCACATCCGAAGCCCCGCTGGCTGGTCGTGAAATGCGACACACCAAGCGAACATGCAGTTTGACCTATTATAGTTGGCACGTAATGTGAAGTCCCTGATCATCACAAATATTAGATAATAATAAACTCACCCCTTCTCGTCATCGTCCATGTCTGGATTCATACGCATAACTTACTACTAATTAAAAATAATTATTGGCACCGGCAAGAAACCTAAACCACACAAGCACAGACCCACACGAATGATTATGGCGGACCAACCACTTCCGCTTTCTCAAAAGTAATGGAAAACGGAAGTTGTCAACAGTTTGGAAACAATAATTTCAACTAACTCTCTGCAAGCGTTTGAACAAAAACTTACACACCAGAATGAATAAAAAAATCTATTTTTACAAATATATATTTTTTAATATTTCTAAAATTACTAAAAACTCTAAATAAAAATTAAAAGTTAACGTTTTGACTAAATAGTTAACAAAAATGCAACGCAAGATGTCACTACCAAATGTTTTACATATTGCCAGTAATAAAAATTATTGACACAGAAACGAAGCTTTTTGTTGTATAATAACAGTAACGTTTATAGTACCGATAAAAATATTATTGGGATGAGTTTAACAATTTCAAGATATTGTTACAAAAAAAAGTACTTTTATTTATTTATTTATTTGGTTTACCAATAATTGTACTTTAACCATGAATTTATTATTTAATTTGTGTAATATTTTACTAAAGACCTAATACAAACCAAGAATTATTTAATTCATTTATTTATTTATTTGATCTTTAATGCCCCTTTTTATACATAAAGCGAACACATAATGCCATAATGGCATTCTGTTGCATAAATACCTAACTATTTACCAATATATTGTTATTTCAAAACCTTTCAAAATATTTACGTAATGTTTCTAATGTTTGTGGATAAAATAAAATAAACTGATGTTAATTAAAATTTTTATTCGTTGTTTTCATTAAAATCATAATGAAGAACTGGTACAGTTGCAACTGTCACCGGTATGTCTTCGTGAAAAGTGGAATGGAATGGAAATTTTATTTCAATCTGTAAAAAAAACAATTAATTAAGTAAGTACATAAATAATATTCACACAAAACAAATATAAAAGGTGTAAAGTCGTCATGAAAGTAAGTAAAGTAAAGATAGTCAGTTTTAGTTTCCTACTAGTCAACAGTACTTATTTCTCTTCTATTGTGCATAATTATTGTGGATTTAGAAGATACACGTTGGAGTAAATCAGCTACCAAAATACCTACCTAAATAAATTTAGCAGGACACTTACTCTTAATGCATACGATATATTTATCATAGGCTCTGGAATATGTAAACTCGTAGGACAAATGTGAGGTATTTCAATACTAAGAGCAAATGATTCTTCTTTTGTATTCTGGAATTTATCATGCTCCACCTTACTTATTTTTTTCTCCTCGTCAGCATATCCTTCTCTAATGGAATACCGAAGCTTCTGCAAAATAGGGAATACACAATAATAGGTATCTTTTCTAACTATAGGTAGCTAGCCAACATTTTATTTAAATTAATTTCATACCTGAATTAATAAAACTGTCAGTTTCAATATTTTGATTTTCGTTTCATTCTTCACTGTTATTTCGAGGGGTACAGTTTGCTTAGAAGCGAATGCTGTATAAGTTTTAATAATAAATGATACAGTTTCGGAATTCCAACAAGTTTTATGAAATGTATATTTCGAAGTTTCCTGAAATTTGTTGAAGTTGTAAAGTTAATTAATACTTTGGAAATTTCTATCCTCGGACGGAAACTTAATTGAAAACAAGCTGACTGTGGACATTTTAAAACTTACCAAATATTCTTCGATATGATTTAGATTAATATTCCCAAAAACTACAAATGGAGTAACTTTTTTACGTTTGCAAACCCCTTTGCTTTTGATTTTAATACAGTAATGAACTTTAGCAAAACCACTTTCGAAGGTTGATGGCAAATCATTGGGCAGAGCGAAATGGAAAGGGTAAGTTAATACTCCTGGTTCTACTGTTTTACCTAAAAGAAATTAATTTTACATGAACATTTTAAAGAAAATATAAAAAATAGAACACATACACATAACTATTATTAATTAAAATTACTAGCCTTGAATATTTTCGAAGAGATCCTCAGTAATATGTAGCAGCTTTTTCTTTTCTGAGTATATTTTTATATGTGGCATTGTTGGTCGGGGTCGTGTCCATTGTGCCTTGCTTGTACCCACGACTATAAATTCAATACCTGTGAAGATTAAACGAACACGTCATAATTGTTCAACGTATTGTAAACTATCAGAGCCTACTATTACCAAAAGTAGGAATTTGGAATAAAAAATTAATAGACTGCATAGGTAAATATTATTAATTTCACGCCATATAATATAATTGATTAATTAAAAAAATTACGTTCAATATTTTTTCTCTGTTTAAATTTTAAATACACCGAGCCCGTCACTATATCCCCAGCATAAAAACTTCCCGTTGAATCACTGTTTAAATTAACTGAACAGTAGTCCCAAACCATTATAAAACTAATAAGTAACTTTGCAAATACACATTTTGGAACACACAAAAAAATAGCAAACTTTAGCGAAGTCTAATACTGAATTAATTAAAATTATCGCCAGATAAGCCAACTTTATCAATGTAATTATTAGCTGATAAAACAATAAACGATTGATCACGCGCTAATCGCTTTTTTATTTTTTAGCAATACTGGTATATCTGCTATTACTAAAGCGCTTTATTTACCGTCAAACCGTTACAACATACGATGTGTTAATAATATTTATTAATTAAAAGTTAAAAGTGCACCTTTAATGTTGTTGGCTAAAAATAAATATCAGTGCTACAATACCGTTATCGTTATTTCATAGAGTTCATAAAATTTTTATAATTCGATTACTTTGACAGTTGGGTATTTCGCCAAAAATTGTCAATTTTGCCTAATTTCCTTGGCACGNCAGTTGTCAAGATTTGTCAATGTCATTAGTGACATTTTGTTTAATCTGTGATGGATAATTTGACATTTGAATTGACATTTTGACAATCGATGTACGTTTGTCGGAATTTCGTGATGTGTTTTTTTCCGACTTGTATTGCGAGATGATTCGGTTCGCAGATCTGTTTATTAACTTTTATTAAGATCTTAAATTCCAATATCTTTAATCCTCAGTGGTCTTCCTAAGATTTGTGTTTTCTTTATCGTTTTGCGTCGGTTTCCGAGTCCTACGCAGCTCGTGATAGGTTATGTTGTGCCCTCCGTCTTTGCAGGTCGAAAAGTAAGTTTTAATGTATTCTATTGCGGTACATTTACGTCTTTTGTGTGTTTCAAATCTGCATTCCTTGCTTTTTATGATGATTCGATTCATTTCTGAGTAGTTCCTGAAGGCTTTCAGTAGTGCATCTGTGGGAAATTAAGGATCTTTGCTGAAGGAAAAGTTATGTAGCCGCTATTGGTAGTTATAGAAGATTGCAAGCAATCAACTAGAACGGTTATTGATGTGACTTTGGCAATACATTCGCTCATTGCTGTGAGTTACCATAATAAGTACATTACATGATGTCATTTAAAATAGTACATGTAAGCCAAATAAAATATTGATTAGCTCAGGTATCAATACATAGTCAGTGTTCGAACTTTTGTAGTTGAAAAAGTGTGATAAATGTTAGATAACAAGTGCAATCAGGTGTAAGTTTGTTTGACTATGTATTCATCTGTAAACAGAACTGTTAATATAAAGGTGAAGTCACTACAGAAATAATATCCATCTAAGTAAAATACCACTGTATTCTTATATTAAAACAAACAAAATTACCACAGCCTACTGTATTAATAAACATTAACAAATGTCTATACTATAAAGACAAAAAGTGATATCTTTTTGTTGCCTATTATCTAGCAATAATAACAGTTATGTTTTTTAACAATAAGTTTTTAGTTGATTTTTATTAATTATTAAAATACTTTTTGCTGTTGTCAGGATTGTTTTTACTGTTAAAACATTACTGCGAACATGTTTAGAACTTGAGACATTAATTAAATCATTACTGAACAACTTAAAAACTTGAGACGTTCATTAAATCATTACATATTGTGATATATTTGATTTTAATATTAGACAAAATTTACAATACTGCAGATGGTCGCTATAATTCTTGTGACTAATTGTTGAATAAAAACGTTAAATAAATTAGAACATCATTAAAGATCTTTGTGGGAGATTTATAATTTTATAATGTGTGTGTAATGAATGTTAGTACCATATTCTTTATTGCATTCTTTGCACCTCTTAATGTGTGTTTAAAAGAAAACTTCTTATTTATTATTAAAGAACTTATTTATTTAAAAATACCATGGCTATATGTCTGCTTATATGTAAATAGTAATATGTAGCAATGCTGCTACTGTCTGCATTGGTTTTTACAGCTTGGGATTAAGTATAAAGGTCTTACAGGTACCTACTCAAATCATTCAAACCACTCATTTTCATAATAAAATCCTATTCCCAAGACTCATTATTTAATGCTGATTTATTATTAGTACAAATGTATGTAAATGACAGGTAATTATTATAAATTAAAAGCATTAGTAATATTATATTTTATTGGATATAACACGGTTCTTAGGTACATATAAATATTTTTAATTAATTTGGTTGTGCAGATAAACACACAATATGGATCCGAACATCTACGCGTTGGTCCTCGACACCCTCAACCGGGCAACGAGCCAGGACACTGAGGTGTTGAAGCCGGCTGAGAAGAAACTTCAGGAATGGGAGATAGAGCCCGGCTTCTATTCTGTTTTACTGGTAAGTACTGTGTCAAATCAAATCAAATCCAAAATATTTTATTTGACCACTAGAGTGGCACTTATGGTCGTCAAAATACAGTAAAAAAAAAGGTAAGGCCCTTAGGGGGCGTTCATTAATTACGTGAGACAATTTTGGCTATTTTTTAACCCCCCTTGGTGAGATTTCATGAGATTTTGCCAGACGCCCTCCACCCCCTAATCTCACTTAAGATTTTCCAAAATGCCTATTTGCAATGTTAATGAGATAATCCATGCTTCGAATAAAACAAAACAGTTTAGGCCCAGTTTTTTTACTTTTAATACAATTTTTAACTTTTAGTTTACATTTTGTTAATATTTAAGTATTGGTATCAAACTGCGGATATGAATTCTGGGCATGTGTTCACAAATGCAGACGGAGGATTTACTCTGTTTGTTGTGGAAAAATATTACGTGATATTTCTCGACACCCCCCTCTCCCCCACGTGAGATTAACTGAGGTTTTTTTGGACCCCCTCTCTAAAAGTCTCACGTAATTAATGGACGCTCCCTTATGATGCAGTTTACATGTCTCCCTATCTTTTGGGCTTTACCAGCACTTCGAGACAAATATATGGCAAGTGCTGAGAAGAAACGCCAGAACAAACTCAGTATTATCTAGTTAATTTTGTTTCCTGTCATCCGCTTTGCACTGGAGGGTAGTTGAACCTTAACTTCGAACTCCGAAGTTCTTCTGATTATTTTCTTTGCAGGTCCAATGACAGTGTAACTTTCCCCCGGGACAAACTTGACCTTGACTGGTTGGGTTTTTGTTTCTGAATGTCATAATTACGTGATTTAGTCTCCACTGCAGGAGAAGATGGTCTCTCTAATTTACCAAGTGCTCTCTAATTACACAAATGCACATTACACAGAAAATATAAAATCGAAAGGTCACTGACTGACTCACTCATCACGAAATCTCAGAAACTACTAGTGTTAGGAGTCTCAAATTTTGCATGGTGGTTCCTTTTAGAACGTGGGTGGGATTACGATCCTCATCATCATCACTAAGATGGGATTTTGCAAAATTCAACCTCTAAGTCCAGGGGTCCACTCGTACGAAGTCGCGGGCGGCCGCCAGTGTAGAAATACATATGATTGTCATTCATAATATTTGCTTCTCCATATCAGGATGTGCTCTCCAACCACTCCATCGACATAAACGTGCGATGGCTGGCGGTGATGTGCTTCAAGAACGGCGTCGACCGCTACTGGCGGCGGAACGCGCCCAACGCGATCACGGACGACGAGAAACAGAAGCTCCGGCTCGGGCTCCTCACCACGAATATACTGAGCGAGCCCGTCACGCAGATCGCGACGCAGCAAGCTGTGCTGATATCAAAAATTGCCAGGTAATATTTGTGTATTACGGAGAGTTGGGGAGTTAGAAGTTTTATAAGTCATAGCAGACTCGGAAAGGGATTAACACTGTATCGCCTTTCGTGAGCAGTCATCGCTTTTTCATTAAGGTGCGGATAACTGTGCGTTGCAGTAGGTTGGACTTTCATACAAAAAATACTATTTGCCAATGTGTGTGTGATGGGTAGCTTGATTTTTCAATAGTTGAGATGAGATTGACCGTTTTCTAAAATGCAAAATTATTGTCTGCTATAAAATATTAAAAGCAATGTCCCGATTGAGATTATCAACCCCCAGCTTGAACGACTTATAATTTATTTATTTATTTAGGAGAACCAACAAGACAGACACAAGTACAACCAGAGATAAGAGAAGTTTAAAATTTTGAGAGGATATTGAATACTCTAAGTGTTATTGATGAAAGGGTTTTTAGGAATTCATCCCCTAAAGGGGTCAAGTAGGGGATGAAGTTTGTTTAAAATTGCGTTATAATTTTTTTTAATTAATTTTCCTTAATTTATAATTAAACTGAAAAATAATATCTACTGAGACTGACACATTAAATTACATAATTATTCATAATGTTTTTCTTAATAAATATGTTTTGTTCCAGGTTTGATTGCCCAACGAACTGGCCCAACCTAGTGCCAGATCTTATCGGAGCCTTGAAGGCGCCGCAGCCCTTAGTGCAGCATAGGTCTTTGCTGATCTTCCATCACTTAGTCAAGGCCTTGGCCTCCAAGAGAATGATTGGAGATAGGAGAATTTTCCAGGTATGCTGGTGAAGTTCATGCAAGATTTACTATCTCACTGTTTCTTCAAGAATGGTACTTTTATAGCTTTACAAAAGTATGTTTGTTTATGTGAGGGTTGTTGAGATTTAATACCTTTTTGAAAAGCTTTTAAGACCAAGAGAAAAATAGAGCTACATAGTTGTGAAATATTTCGCACTTGTGCAAACTGCGCGCGCACAACTATCAATATGATTTTCCGCGTAAATGGTGAGTCACTGGAAAACATTGCAGCGTTACGTAGATTTGAACGTTGTGCATCATGTTTTTAAAGTTTTGTGTAAAGTTAAAAAAGCTTTTAGTAAGTCACATTTTACTTGTCAACTATCTTTATCTACAGACTAGCTGTGCTCTGCGGTGTTACCCGCGGTAAGACGTAGCCTATGTTAACCCATAGGCTACGTTTTACCCTGGATTAACTCCAGGGTGTAAGCTAACTCCATAGCAAATTTTATTAAAATCGCTCCAGCCGTTTAGTCGTGAAGAAGTAACAAACATACACACAAACTTTCGCCTTTTAATATTAGTGTGATTACTGCAGAGAAACACTATGTTAATTTTGACTATCCTTCTTCCAGGAGCTAACAAACTCCGTCTACGCGTTCATCCTAAACCTCTGGCACGAGAACACGGAAGTTTTCCTCCGTAACATCCAAGAGGGCGCTGCCACCGAGCTGATAACGGAACACCTGGAGAAGGCGCTCCTCTGCCTCAGGATATTGAGGAAACTCACCGTCTTTGGGTTCAAGAAGGCACACGAGAGCCAGGATGCGGTCGCTTTCTTGAATGTGGTGTTTGACAGGGCAAAGACTAGCTTGGAGTGCCGTGAGTATTTTATTTTTTTATTTTATTTTATTGAGAAAACCAACAGCGTATTTATACAATTTTACCATACATAAATTTAACATACAATATGGCCAATAACAGGTTTCCCTTAAATTATTACCAATAGTACTAGTAAAGGTTGGAATGCTACCAATACCTATCCACACAAGTTCATACAACACTACCTAAACAATACACTACAAAACAAAGATCATCCCGATAGCCAACTCAATGTCAGTTGAGATACAGAAAAGATATTATGTAGTTTACATCCTATTACTATGACTTTATGTACCTACTAAAATTGTAACTTTATGAGAGCAGTGATTTGTTTTGTTAACAAACAGTGTTGACAGCATTTATCATTATGTGAAGTAATGAAAATCTACAAAGGTGCTCCCTCACCGGGCGTTTGTAATGTAACATTTTAGATTTAACTTTGAGCATTACATTAACCTCCCTGATTGACGAGCATTCACGTTTGATTTAGTTTATATTCCTTATTCATTACAAAGTGCGCTGTGTAATGCTCGGTTCTCCTCCTTCACTGATGTATGCTCGTTTTGTATCATTACAAGGTGCTGTAATGGTTGTTTTTCCTTCTTCATTGATGTAATGCTCGAATCTGTAATGTTACACCCGAATGCTCCCGGTTAGGGAGCACCATAAAACTCCTAGTATTTTATGACCACGTCTTAAAAAAGTTTTTATTACGTGTTTGTTCCAGGCAAGCTCCTCAAAGGCCGCGGGATCTACCCCCTAGAACTATGTGAGAAGTTCATCATCCACCTCACTAAAGTGGCACTAGGGGTGCTAAGTTTCCACCCTTTCTCTTACGTGCCTCTCATCAGGCCTTCCCTGCAGTTTGCCTTGTACTATTGCTTTACGGAACAAGGCATGACCCTGGGCTATGAAAGGTTCACTATACAGTGCCTGAATATTGTCAAAGGTGTGCTTTTGTGCGCTGAGTACAAACTGCCTAAAGGCACGGAGCCGGTTAAAGAGCCATGTGAGTATTTTTTTTTGGTTTTTCATGACCCATCAATACAATGTTTTCTGAGTTTTGTGATATCCCATATTTTTAAAATACGAAAATCTACTATATAAAAATAAGTCGGGTTTTCCTCCCTGACGCTATAACTCCAGAACGCACGAACCGATTTCCACGGTTTTGCATTCGTTGGAAAGGTCTCGGGCTCCGTGAGGTTTATGGCTAAGAAAATTCGGGAAAAGGGGGTAAAACGGGATCCACGCGTACGAAGTCGCGGGCGGCCGCTAGTTGTTTATATTAAATGGCAATGCCAGATTTTGTATGGAAGGTGGCGTCTTTTTTTTTTCGCGCGGCCATCGACCAAACTTTGTTTTTTGATTACAAAATAGTGTAATAAACCATGACAAAATAGTGTCATAAATGCAGCTACAGTGACATGTAGATGTCACTGTAGCTGCATAAACTATGATCAGATTTAAAAAACAACCATAACAAACATACCGATGTCCTATCTACCGGTAATAAAAGGGTCTTTAATTTATTTAGGAAATAAAGCGCGTCACTTATTAGCAAATAGTGAAACTAACGGCCGGTTCACACATGTCTCCGTTTTATCGATTACTGCTTACGCTATGAAAACTACAAGTTTAGCGCATAACTAAGTCAATGCCTCAGGTATGGAAGCGGCATAGGTGGGTATTTTTGTGATATCAAACTTCAAACGTCTGCGAGACTTCAGATGTGCTTCAGACTTGTATGCTCTGTCACTTATGTTATCATTCCGTGCCTCTCCCATACCTCAGCTATGTGCTAGATCATGTTCATCACTAAACAAGTACTAATAAAACACTATCTTTCCAGTAACATTAGAGGCGCACCAAGCCAAAATGGAGGTTCTAGACCCGAATACGGTCTGTCATATGTGCCGGCACCTGGTCAGCCACTACTTCGTGCTCAGCGCCGACGACCTGGCGCTGTGGGACGCGGAGCCCGAGAGCTTCGCCACCGACGAGGCGGGCGAATCCTGGAAGTATAGCCTGAGGGTAAGTCACTCATCATCAAGGTTCCTTAGTTCCAGCCAAAAGACGCCCACTGCTGCAGCTGGATAAAGCCCCCAAGATTTCAACAACAAGCAATCCTGCATAACATAGCCTGAGGGTAAGTGTCTTCATCATCAGCAGGTCCTTTATCATCGACTGCAGGAACGTGATTCTACAAAAGGCAAATGGAGGAGTCCCTATCAGTGAGGGACCGAGGAAGAAGAATAAGGGAAGCTCCATCGCCTTTTGCCCTTTGGGTGACCTTTAGCCTTCTTATGAAGCTCATAATGNTTTGTGTAAATAAACAATTAAATTAATCTATTGTTTAGCTGCAAAAAACCGACCAAAGAAATTGACTTTTTAGTAAACAAAAACCCAAGGAGGGACCTGTTTATGCGATTTGTCGCGAAACTGATCAACGACGTACTGTCCTGCCGCAATGGCCTCTTGGGATGAAATGGCCGAGTGTAGTGGTGCAGTGCGTTACATTCTAAGTTTTTTCGTTTCGTTATAACAATGGTCGAAACGAAGACCCAGGAAAATTATACTTTTGACCTGGACAAGAACTTAACTTCACTTTATTTTCTTCCTATAAGTATTTAACATTTAAAGTTTTTTTTTCCGATAGCCAAACGTTTCTCAAATGTAAAGAGAGTGCTATTAGAATTAAATTACGCTTCAATTTTTTATAATGAGCCTTCATTTTGGCAAACAACAGTAATGGACATAACAAGGAAATTAGAAAAACGACTTTTGATTAAGTTTTTCTACGGTATTATTTGTAGTTTCTGCTATTGTAATAGCAAAAACAAATAAAACTTTTGATGAACTTTCCCATAAAAATAGTTTCATACAGATAGATGTAAAAAAACATGTGTTCGCCTGCCTGGACACAGAAAATTTACTGTTTCGGCGAAATACCCATACATTCGCTCATTGCTGTGAGTTACCATAATAAGTACATTACATGATGTCATTTAAAATAGTACATGTAAGCCAAATAAAATATTGATTAGCTCAGGTATCAATACATAGTCAGTGTTCGAACTTTTGTAGTTGAAAAAGTGTGATAAATGTTAGATAACAAGTGCAATCAGGTGTAAGTTTGTTTGACTATGTATTCATCTGTAAACAGAACTGTTAATATAAAGGTGAAGTCACTACAGAAATAATATCCATCTAAGTAAAATACCACTGTATTCTTATATTAAAACAAACAAAATTACCACAGCCTACTGTATTAATAAACATTAACAAATGTCTATACTATAAAGACAAAAAGTGATATCTTTTTGTTGCCTATTATCTAGCAATAATAACAGTTATGTTTTTTAACAATAAGTTTTTAGTTGATTTTTATTAATTATTAAAATACTTTTTGCTGTTGTCAGGATTGTTTTTACTGTTAAAACATTACTGCGAACATGTTTAGAACTTGAGACATTAATTAAATCATTACTGAACAACTTAAAAACTTGAGACGTTCATTAAATCATTACATATTGTGATATATTTGATTTTAATATTACACAAAATTTACAATACTGCAGATGGTCGCTATAATTCTTGTGAATAATTGTTGAATAAAAACGTTAAATAAATTAGAACATCATTAAAGATCTTTGTGGGAGATTTATAATTTTATAATGTGTGTGTAATGAATGTTAGTACCATATTCTTTATTGCATTCTTTGCACCTCTTAATGTGTGTTTAAAAGAAAACTTCTTATTTATTATTAAAGAACTTATTTATTTAAAAATACCATGGCTATATGTCTGCTTATATGTACATAGAAATATGTAGCAATGCTACTGCTGTCTGCATTGGTTTATACAGCTTGGGATTAAGTATAAAGGTCTTACAGGTACCTACTCAAATCATTCAAACCACTCATTTTCATAATAAAATCCTATTCCCAAGACTCATTATTTAATGCTGATTTATTATTAGTACAAATGTATGTAAATGACAGGTAATTATTATAAATTAAAAGCATTAGTAATATTATATTTTATTGTATTATCACTGTTTTTAGGTACATATTATGAATGATTTTAATTCATTCGGTTGTGCAGATAAACACACAATATGGATCCGAACATCTACGCGTTGGTCCTCGACACTCTCAACCGGGCAACAAGCCAGGACACCGAGGTGTTGAAGCCGGCTGAGAAGAAACTCCAGGAATGGGAGATAGAGCCCGGCTTCTATTCTGTTTTACTGGTAAGTGCTGTATAATGCAGTTTCGCCCGTATTCACAAACAATGCTTGCTTAAGTGAAGCAGCGAATCGAACAGCATATATAGAGCTCTGTGATTCGTTCATTTGTCACCCTGTGCGTCCACGCGCACTGTGAAACCTCATAGTAATGTTCGTGAATACGAGTGATAATTTTCTCTTCTCTGCTTTGCACTGGAGGGTAGTTGAACCTTAACTTCGAACTCCTATGTTCTTCTGATTATTTTCTTTGCGGGTCCAATGACAGTGTAACTTTCCCCCGGGACAAACATGACCTTCACTGGTTGAGTTTTTGTTTTTGAATGTCATCATTACGTGATTTAATTTTAGTCTCCACTCACACACTAATTTACCAAGAGCTCTCTAATTAGCCAGATGGGTTGGCGTGGCCCGACACAAATGCACATTACACAGAAAATATAAAATCGAAAGGTCACTGACTGACTCACTCATCACGAAATCTCAGAAACTACAAGTGTTAGTAGTCTTAAATTTTTTTTGCATGTCGGTTTCTTTTAGAAAGTGGCTGCTCACTAAGATGGAATTTTTCAAAATTCAACCTCTAAGGGGGTAAAACGGGGCCCACGCATACGAAGTCGCGGGCGGTAAATAAATATGATTGTCATAATATGTATTTCTCCATATCAGGATGTGCTCTCCAACCACTCCATCGACATAAACGTGCGATGGCTGGCGGTGATGTGCTTCAAGAACGGCGTCGACCGCTACTGGCGGCGGAACGCGCCCAACGCGATCACGGAGGACGAGAAACAGAAGCTCCGGCTCGGGCTCCTCACCACGAATATACTGAGCGAGCCCGTCACGCAGATTGCGACGCAGCAAGCTGTGCTGATATCAAAAATTGCCAGGTATTTGCCAAATACGTGTTGGGTAGCAGACTTATAAACTAGGAACGGGATTAATACCGTATCGCCTTTCGCGAGCAGTCGTCGCCTTTAGCGAGCAGTCATTGCCTTTCGCGAGCAGTCATTGCCTTTCGCGAGCAGTCATCGCCTTTAGCGCTCTGTCAACCGCGAGGCGAGGCTTTTACGTTACGGTGCAGATAAGTGTGCGTTGCAGTATGGTGGACTTTCATACAAAGAATATTGATCGCCTCGAGTTGATCCCTTTCCGGGTTTCCTTTTTTATCATGTTGCATATAAATAATACTATTTGCCAATGTGTGATGGATAGCTAGATTTTTTTATAGTTGAGATTGACCGTTTTATAAAAGTCAAAATTGACATTATCAACCCAACTTCAACCACTTATGAGTGAAGTTTAAAATTTTGAGAGGTATTGCTTTACACTGAATTGAGGGTGTAATTTCAGAAAAGGTAATTCGAATTTCGTTCCCTAAAAGGAAGTAGGGGATGAAAGTTTATTTGAATTTTTTTTATCTTACTATTTTTACTTCTTTAATTAAAAATTTACAAAAAGTAAAGAGCAGACATTAGTAAATATGTTTTGTTCCAGGTTTGATTGCCCAACGAACTGGCCGAATCTAGTGCCAGATCTCATCGGTGCCTTGAAGGCGCCGCAGCCCTTAGTGCAGCATAGGTCTTTGCTGATCTTCCATCACTTAGTCAAGGCTTTGGCCTCCAAGAGAATGATTGGAGATAGGAGAATTTTCCAGGTATGGTGATGAATTTTATGCAAGATTTACTATTTCATTGTTTCTTCAAGAATGATACTTTTATAGCTTTATAAAAGTATGTTTGTTTATGTGAGGGTTGTTGAGATTTAATACCTTTTTGAAAAGCTTTTAAGACCTAGGGAAAAATAGAGCTACATGGTTGTGAAATATTTCGCACTTGTGCAAACTGCGCGCGCACACCTATCAATATGATTTTCCGCGTAAATGGTGAGTCACTGGAAAACATTGCAGCGTTACGTAGATTTGAACGTTGTGCATCATGTTTTTAAAGTTTTGTGTAAAGTTAAAAAAGCTTTTAGTAAGTCACATTTTACTTGTCAACTATCTTTATCTACAGACTAGCTGTGCTCTGCGGTGTTACCCGCGGTAAGACGTAGCCTATGTTAACCCATAGGCTACGTTTTACCCTGGATTAACTCCAGGGTGTAAGCTAACTCCATAGCAAATTTTATTAAAATCGCTCCAGCCGTTTAGTCGTGAAGAAGTAACAAACATATGTACACACAAACTTTCGCCTTTTAATATTAGTGTGATTACTGCAGAGAAACACTATGTTAATTTTGACTATCCTTCTTCCAGGAGCTAACAAACTCCGTCTACGCGTTCATCCTAAACCTCTGGCACGAGAACACTGAAGTTTTCCTCCGTAACATCCAAGAGGGCGCTGCTACGGAGCTGATCACGGAACACCTGGAGAAGGCGCTCCTCTGTCTCAGGATATTGAGGAAACTGACCGTCTTTGGGTTCAAGAAGGCACACGAGAGCCAGGATGCGGTTGCTTTCTTGAATGTGGTGTTTGACAGGGCAAAGACTAGCTTGGAGTGCCGTGAGTATTACTATGACTTTATGTACTAAAATTGTAACTTTATGAGTGTATGAATATTAAGAAATAGTGTTGAAAGCATAATTATTCTACATTTTGTTGCAACAAAATAGCACTTTTTACAACTACTTTAGATACCATACTCAAGACACTGATCGTAAAATACTCAGAAGGCTTTTAATCTCTTGTTTGTGTTTTTAAACTTTTGCGTTCCATTTCAACTAAAATAGTAAGACACGGGTCTTAACGCGACGTTAAGAGTAGGCGCACACCGTTGATTTTTCGTCGGCCGATAGTTTAGTCGGGCAGTTGATCAGTATGGGCATGTATGGGAGTGCGCACACTACGCCGATTCGATTTGGCCGATTCTTCATACAATTTAAAATCGGGCACAACTATCGGCCAACTAAAAATCAACGGTGTGTGCCTACTCTTATTAATGAGTTACATTATGTACTCACGGCTTGACGTTTCAACTGCGATGCTGCAGCCGTGGTCACAAGCAGACTGCAGAGCGAGACCCGTGTCTTACTATTTTACTCTTGTTTGTGATTAGAATTTACTGTAGCACCCAATTATACAACAAGATGCGATTAATTAGTATGAATATGTGTCTGGAATTTTTCTATTAATTTTAGATTTTAAATCATACATTTTCGGCAGTTCCAGACCTCATAATAATTTTAACTTTATGCTGTCATATGGTTGAAAACCTATGTAAATATTGATAAACCTGATAGGGTTAATATGTAAAAATCATGTGAACTAATGAAATCCCACGGATGTAACACTTCTAATATGTTATGAGTATGACTGTGTTAAAATTGATTTTATTACGTGTTGGTTCCAGGCAAGCTCCTCAAAGGCCGCGGGATCTACCCCCTAGAACTATGTGAGAAGTTCATCATCCACCTCACTAAAGTGGCACTAGGGGTGCTAAGTTTCCACCCTTTCTCTTACGTGCCTCTCATCAGGCCATCCCTGCAGTTTGCCCTTTACTACTGCTTTACGGAACAAGGCATGACCCTGGGCTATGAAAGGTTCACTATACAGTGCCTGAATATCGTCAAAGGTGTGCTTTTGTGCGCTGAGTACAAACTGCCTAAAGGAACGGAGCCGGTTAAAGAGCCACGTGAGTATTTATTTTTTATTTGTCACCATGATCGATTTTTGATGTGATATTATTGTGATGATGGGATGTTATCTTAGCTGTAAGCTTAGTATTTGTCCACACATAAAAAAAAATTTAAAATGGTTATATTTATTTTGTCAGAAATAATCAAAACTAATTTTGTAGATGTGCTGGAAATTTTGTAGATGTCTCAGTGTCTGCAGAAATATACAAATTTAAAAAACATAACAAAGGTATTTTGATAATAATAAATAATAATAATAAAATAACTTTTATTAACACACATTATACAATACAATACAACACATTTAAAAGAAAGAGACGAATGCATGTTAATAGGGCGCCTGCTCAGTTTTAGTTGGGACACCTTAATAGGGTATCCCGACACTGATTTTCAGCAGGAAGCCCTATCAGTTACTGCGCATCCCTACTGGCGAGCCTGGTGTAAAAAGAAAATAATTATGTTAATTTATAATATTTATATTTAAAATTATAACAGCACAGAGGGGATACGCAGCAACTATTAGTCGCGGGGTACGTGGACACGAATATTTAAAGTAATACTAATAATAAAATAACACAGACAATACGATAATTAGCAGGAATAATTATTTAAAACATTTAACATAAAATTTACAATAAAAAGTTATTTCCATTACAAAACAATACATAAAAGTCCCTGTTCATCATCATTCAAACGAACGAATCCTATGCCTTCTCCACTTCACGCGAGGTAACTCAAGGAAGATAGATAGTGCGGGGAAAAAAAANACAAAAATATATGTCTCATATTTTTATCACGTCAAGTTTTTGAGATATCCACATTAACCTAAGTAAGCTGTCTTGTTAGCCGTGTCGGAGTTTCTACTTTATTTTAATTGCGTTTAAGTATTATTTTAACATTTTCACTTGTTTTAAAATATCACCAAGGCAGTGTAAATTAACCCCAAATAACTTTTGCTGAGTTTGTGGCCAAATTATATTGTCAAAAAAGAAAAGACCAATCACTAAGGCCGTAAAACGGGCCTATTTCTATTACTTTCAAATCTCGGTAACAAACCTGATAAAAAATGTGTTCCTGGTGTAGTGTGCGAAAATTTGAGAAGTATATTATTGCACTAGGCTGCAGGAAAAAGAAAACATATAGGATTCGGCACCCCAATGTCATGGAGAGAACCAACAAATCAAACTAATGACTGTTACTTCTGCCTCACTAAAACTACAGGTTTTAACGACAAAAACCAAGAACATACAATATCCTGATGTTGCATCAGTCACAAAACCTGTGCTACAATCTGAAGGAGTTCTTTATCCGTCATTACCCAGCAATTCCAGTAAGGGAAAGATGCTTGGTATTAATTTAAAGCAGTAGTGAAAAGTTTCCTGGGAAACTATTTTATCTGAGAATTATGCAGAAATTATTTCCAAATTATTGAGGAATTACCAAAGAATGGGTGTGAATAAGTCGTTAAAAATTCATTTTTTACATTATCACCTGGATTTTTTTCTTGAGCACCTGAAAAGCGTGAGTGTTGAGCATGGCGAAAGTTTTCACCAGGATTTGAAGGTTTTTGAGGAAAGATATCAAGGAATTCGGGATAAAAATATGTTAGCGGATTGCTGCTGGTCTATGATAAGGGAAACTGATACAAATCAGTATAAAAGAAGGAGTAACACGACTCATTTTTGATTGTTTTTAGAGATACATTTATAAAAATGATAAAAATTAATATATTCAATATTTACAAAATTTGACGTCCTAAATTTTTTCTAAGTTCAGTTTTTAAGTAAGGGTTAATAACTCTACCGATACATATCAGTTTCATCTCTGGGTAAAAAACCTTGTAAACTAGTGTTATTTAAAACATTTAACATAAAATTTACAATAAAAAGTTATTTCCATTACAAAACAATACATAAAAGTCCCTGTTCATCATCATTCAAACGAACGAATCCTATGCCTTCTCCACTTCACGCGAGGTAACTCAAGGAAGATAGATAGTGCGGGGAAAGAAAAAAAAAAATGAAAGAAAAAGAACTGACTCATGTCAAACGTGACAGTTTGTCGTTCAAATAACGATTGAACAAAAATAACCTCCTACCACCGACAGAGTGAAAAATCACTTTATTTGGTTGGCGATAACATTTACCTTTTCATATTCACAATGCTTACGCTATGAAAACTACAGCCAGTGCCTTAGGTATAAAAGCGGCATAGAAGGGTATTTTTGTGACGTCATACGTCAGCGAGACTTCAGAAGTGCTTCAGACTTGTATGCTCTGTCACGTCATATCATACCCCAGGCACTGACTTAAGCGTTAGGTCATGCTCATCACTGAACACACATAAAACACTATCTTTCCAGTAACACTAGAAGCGCACCAAGCCAAAATGGAGGTGCTAGACCCGAATACGGTCTGCCACATGTGCCGGCACCTGGTCAGCCACTACTTCGTGCTCAGCGCCGACGACCTGGCGCTGTGGGACGCGGAGCCCGAGAGCTTCGCCACCGACGAGGCGGGCGAGTCCTGGAAGTATAGCCTGAGGGTGAGTCTTTATCATCAAGGTCCCTTAGTTCCAGCCAAAAGACGTCCGCTGCTGCAGCTGGATAAAGCCCCCAAGATTTCTACAACAAGCAATCCTGCATAACATAGCCTGAGGGTAAGTGTATTCATCAGCAGCAGGTCCTTTATTGTCGACTGCAAGAACGCGATTCTCCAAAAGGCAAATGGAGGAGTACCCATCAGTGAGGGACCGAGGAAGAAGAATAAGGGAAGCTCCATCGCCTTTTGCCCTTTGGGTGACCTTGAGCCTTCTTATGAAGCTCATAATGAGCGACCTCGTCTGCGTTTCGTATGTCTTTGTTGAGTATAGACACTGGTCAAAGACTTATCTTGAGACATTGTCGTATTTTGGACGCGAATATGTCTCAAGATCGAGGCGCCCTTTGGGTGACCTTGAGCCTTCTAATGAAGCTCAAACAAACGACCACGAGTCTGTCCTGTATCTCATCGCTGGCTACATACACTGGTTAAATACTTTTCTTAAGACATTGCGATCCTTTTGACGCGAAGATGTCTCAAGATGGGGTGCTAGACCCGAGCACAGTGTGCCACATGTGCCGGCACCTGGTCAGCCACTACTTCGTGCTCAGCGCCGACGACCTGGCGCTGTGGGACGCGGAGCCCGAGAGCTTCGTCACCGACGAGGCGGGCGAGTCCTGGAAGTATAGCCTGAGGGTAAGTCTTTATCATCAAGGTCCCTTAGTTTCAGCCAAAAGACGTCCACTGCTGCAGCTGGATAAAGCCCCCAAGATTTCTATAACAAGCAATCCTGCATAACATAGCCTGAAGGTAAGTGTCTTCATCATCAGCAGGTCCTTTATTGTCGACTGCAAGAACGCGATTCTCCAAAAGGCAAATGGAGGAGTACCCATCAGTGAGGGACCGAGGAAGAAGAATAAGGGAAGCTCCATCGCCTTTTGCCCTTTGGGTGACCTTGAGCCTTCTTATGAAGCTCATAATGAGCGACCTCGTCTGCGTTTCGTATGTCTTTGTTGAGTATAGACACTGGTCAAAGACTTATCTTGAGACATTGTCGTATTTTGGACGCGAATATGTCTCAAGATCGAGGCGCCCTTTGGGTGACCTTGAGCCTTCTAATGAAGCTCAAACAAACGACCACGAGTCTGTCCTGTATCTCATCGCTGGCTACATACACTGGTTAAATACTTTTCTTAAGACATTGCGATCCTTTTGACGCGAAGATGTCTCAAGATGGGGTGCTAGACCCGAGCACAGTGTGCCACATGTGCCGGCACCTGGTCAGCCACTACTTCGTGCTCAGCGCCGACGACCTGGCGCTGTGGGACGCGGAGCCCGAGAGCTTCGTCACCGACGAGGCGGGCGAGTCCTGGAAGTATAGCCTGAGGGTAAGTGTCTTCATCATCAAGGTTCCTTAGTTCCAGCCAAAAGACGTCCGCTGCTGCAGCTGGATAAAGCCCCCAAGATTTCTACAACAAGCAATCCTGCATAACATAGCCTGAGGGTAAGTGTATTCATCAGCAGCAGGTCCTTTATTGTCGACTGCAAGAACGCGATTCTCCAAAAGGCAAATGGAGGAGTACCCATCAGTGAGGGACCGAGGAAGAAGAATAAGGGAAGCTCCATCGCCTTTTGCCCTTTGGGTGACCTTGAGCCTTCTTATGAAGCTCATAATGGGCTACCACGTCTCCGTTCCGTATGTATTGCTGGCTACACACACTGGTCAAAGACTTTTCTTGAGACACTGCGGTTTTTGTACGCGAAGATGTCTCAAGATCAAGGCGCCCTTTGGGTGACCTTGAGCGTTCTAATGAAGCTCAAACAAACGACCACGAGTCTGTCCTGTATCTCATCGCTGGCTATACACACTGGCTAAAGACTTTTCTTAAGACATTGCCATCCTTTTGACGCGAAGATGTCTCAAGATGGCGGTGATAGACCCGAGCACAGTGTGCCACATGTGCCGGCACCTGGTCAGCCACTACTTCGTGCTCAGCGCCGACGTCCTTTATTGTCGAATGCAGGAACGTGATTCTCCAAAAGGCAAATGGAGGAGCTGCCCTAAACTTTATTTATACGGTGACCAAATAGGTTGGAGACTATCCACTTTAATGGAGAGGCTTGATGTTTGCATATTTCCCTTAGTCACCTCTTTCTTTAGTTTTGTGCCTCAACGGGTTATCAGTTCTTCGAACTATGTGAATTCCGAGAGCTTCGCCACCGATGAGGCGGGCGAGTCCTGGAAGTATAGCCTGAGGGTGAGTCAACGTCTTCATCATCAAGGTTCCTTAGTTTCAGTCAAATGACGTTTACTGCTGGAAGAGGACCAAGGATTTCGACAGCAACCGATCCTGCGCTGCCTGCATCAGGTGCTTCCCGTGACCTTCACAAGATCGTCAGTCTACCTAATTAGAGGCTTACCTACACTAGTGTCCTAGTCAGTGATCGCCACTCGAGAACTTTTCGGTCTCAACGCCAACAATGAAAGTTCTGCGAGCTTTAGACCTCAGTTCCGATTCGACTACGTAGGGAAACTCCAAGCAAAGCATGATCCATAGCCCTCTGGGTGACCTTGAGCTTTCTTATGAAGCTACCGTCTCGTTTAACCACGTCTCCGTTTCATAAGTCTTAGCTGGGTACACACACTGGTCAAGGACTGTCTTGAGGAGACACTGAGAGCTATCTTGGACGCGAAAATGTCTCAATATGAAGGCACCCTTTGGGTGACCTTGAGCCTTCTTAAGATGCTTATAATGAGCTACCACGTCTCCGTTCCGTATGTAATGTCATTGCTGGCTTCATACACAGTTGAAACTTGTCTTGAGACACTGCGGTATCTTGGACGCGAAGATTTAGACGAGGCGGGCGAGTTCTGGAAGTATAGCCTGGGGGTATGTCCACGATCCTCATCAGCAGGTTCTTTATTCTGATTTCCAGGGAGTGACACGACTCTCCAATTTACCAGAGGCAAATGCAGAATTTGTATTGAAGGCCAAGGAAGTCTATACTCCCTACGCTGGCCAGACGAATTAGGTAAACCTAATGATGTTCGCATATGTGTTCTTTAGTTACTCTCTTACGTCAATCCACCGACAATTTAGTAAAGGTTGCTGAAAGCACCGGGATGCGGGTAACGCAGGATTGGTCGTTGTTGAAATGCTTTGGTCTTTGTCTAAGAATGGATATCCTTTAGTTTAAACGACATCGACCTTCTTACGTCATTCACGGGAAGAGTTGGGGTGATCCTATTTTACTGTCATTAAAATTCCTGGAAATGTTATCTTAATTCCCTATTTCTTTCCGCAGCCCTGCACCGAAGCGCTCTTCATGGAACTGTTCCAGTTCCGCAACGTACTAGCTCCGGAGCTAGTACGTTTGCTAGCGTCGCTTCAACAGCAGCAGATATCACCGGACGACCTGCCCGCCATACTGAAGACCGACGCCATATACAACGCGGTCGGGTTGGCCGCCTTTGACTTGTATGACGACGTGAGTACACTCCATAGAACTTATACTAAAGCCTGGTCCGTGAGCACGTAGAATCCCGTCTAATGACCCCAAGCTACCCATCCTTGTCGCTCGCGCGTAATTATGTTGCTGTCGCGCTCGCACATTCACTGCGGGCGCGCGTCGCACAGTCGCGACAGCAATATAATTACGCGCGAGCGATAAGGATGGATAGCTTGGGGTCATTAGACGGGATTCTACGTGCTCACGGACCAGGCTTTAGCTCCGTATTACTAGCTCCATAGTACCTGTACTAGCTCCATAGCTAGTACGGTTGCTGGCGTCGCTTCAACAGCAGCAGATATCGCCGGATGACCTGCCCGCCATACTGAAGACAGACGCCATATACAACGCGGTCGGGTTGGCCGCCTTCGACTTGTATGACGACGTGAGTACACTCCATAGTACTTATACTAAAGCCTGGTCCGTGAGCACGTAGAATCCCGTCCAAAGACCCCAAGCTACCCATCCTTGTCGCTCGCACGTAATTATGTTGCTGTCGCGCTCGCACACTCACTGCGGGCGCGCGTCGCACAGTCGCGACAGCAATATAATTACGCGCGAGCGATAAGGATGGATAGCTTGGGGTCATTAGACGGGATTCTACGTGCTCACGGACCAGGCTTTAGCTCCGTATTACTAGCTCCATAGTACCCGTACTAGCTCCACAGCTAGTACGGTTGCTGGCGTCGCTTCAACAGCAGCAGATATCGCCGGACGACCTGCCCGCCATACTGAAGACAGACGCCATATACAACGCGGTCGGGCTGGCCGCCTTTGACTTGTATGACGACGTGAGTACGCTCCATAGTACTTATACTAAAGCCTGGTCCGTGAGCACGTAGAATGCCGTCCAAAGACCCCAAGCTACCCATCCTTGTCGCTCGCACGTAATTATGTTGCTGTCGCGCTCGCACACTCACTGCGGGCGCGCGTCGCACAGTCGCGACAGCATTATAATTACGCGCGAGCGATAAGGATGGATAGCTTGGGGTCATTAGACGGGATTCTACGTGCTCACGGACCAGGCTTTAGCTCCGTATTACTAGCTCCATAGTACCTGTACTAGCTCCATAGCTAGTACGGTTGCTGGCGTCGCTTCAACAGCTGCAGATATCGCCGGACGACCTGCCCGCCATACTGAAGACCGACGCCATATACAACGCGGTCGGGTTGGCCGCCTTTGACTTGTATGACGACGTAAGTAATTCCATAATACTAGTTACTACTCCATAGCAGGCCTGTTCATCTACCCGAGTAGGCATCGGAAACATGGCGTGGCGAATCCGCCGGCAAGTTTAATCTACAAGGGATTCACGAGCGAGTAGCGACGTACGCGCGCGTATTCTTCACCGATTAAAAAAAAATGGAAAGAAGAAAAAATATGGTGCGCTAGATGGCAATAAAGTAGCTTATTATTCATGAATAAATAAATAAATAAATAAATAAATTATAGCAGTCACATCGGCACAGTACCGATCACTGACGCATGTAAACGAAACGGTGCTCGACTCTTGAGACAAGCGAAATTTCACCATATTAATGACGACATTGTGTAGTCAATTTTTAAATACCTTCGCGAAGAAAACTTTCTGTACGTAGTACATATTATTAGTCTGTGTCAATAGTACTTATACTAGCTCCGCATTCCCTGTACTAGCTTCATAGTATCTGTACTAGCTCCGTAGCTAGTACTGTTTCTAGGAATCATTGTAATAGCAGCAGTAATATAATGCGGTCGGGTTATCTAAAATTTGTTTTTTGTTTGCAGGTTGACTTTGACGAATGGTTTACAAATGTGCTAAGCCAAGAGTTGAAAATAAAGGACAATAACTACAGAATTATTAGGAGACGAGTCTGCCAGTTGATTGGTAAGTGACACATTTATTACCAATGTGTTGTATAATAAAATTTATTTTTAGTGTGAATAACTAAACGTCGAAATATTTTGTGATAGCATGACGAAATATTTTGTGATAGCTACTGTCAAGTGTCAGTTTTCAAAATGACAGATGATAATCTAGGAGAAAATATCAGCGGGGATACTCCCAAAAACGTTATCCAAAGTTTCGAATGTTGCCATCCCTCTCACGCAAAGCGAGATGCCTACATGAGCGACTGTGACAGATAGACCCAAATTCCGAAACTACGTAGGTAAATAGCGTTTAGAAACACTGCTGAATATTTTCAAAGTTGAAGTTTAATGTTCAGTGTTCCATTTATGAAATTAGATCTCCCAGCTTTAGACTCGGTTTTCACCAAGGCGTAGTAGAGAAATCTGGTTGGTTATTAAAAAAAAATCTCTGCTCCGCTCCGCTTTAGTATAAACCGGGCCTTAACACCATATTATTTTCTAAACAGGTCAATGGTGTGGAGTCCGAGCGTCTCAATCGCTCCGGCCAGCGATGTACGAAGCGCTGCTAGAACCTCTTTCGAGGCCAGACGAGGACGCGGCAGTGAAGCTGGCAGCGGCCGAAGCGTTGCGAAGCACGATAGACGACTTCAACTTCGACGTGAAACAGTTTGCTCCGTACGCGCCTCACGCGATCGCAGCGCTTTACGAGTTGTTGGTGAGTTGTGTTTGTTAAAGTTCAGTTTTTAAGCGCTGCTAGAACCTCTCTTGAGGCCAGACGAGGACGCGGCAGTAAAGCTGGCAGCGGCCGAAGCGTTGCGAAGCACGATAGACGACTTCAACTTCGACGTGAAACAGTTCGCACCGTATGCGCCGCACGCGATCGCAGCGCTTTACGAGTTGCTGGTAAGTTGTATTTGTTGAAGTTCGGTTTTTAAGCGCTGTTAGAACCTCTCGAGGCCAGACTAGGACGCAGCAGTGAAGCGAGTTGTTGGTGAGTTGTGTTTGTTGATGTTCAGTTGTTTTCTTTTGCGTTGGCTTGGCATTAAATAAACTCATAAAAAACTCATTTATTTATGAAAGTAGGCTTTTTAAAAGCACTTACACGTCCCAGTACTAACCCTACCACTACTTCAAGAATAAAAGAAGGGTTCCCGTGAAATTGGTTAGAGTAGGGTTTGGTAATATCCAAGATTAAGACCTATTTGTCCACGTATACAGTACGTCATGTGCACGCTATCGTCAATTGATAATTTCTTGCATCTTGCGTAAAAACAAAACTGTGTCTACAGAGTAGCGACGAATTTTGCGTAGCAAATATGCAAAATAACTTCATGTGAAAATTGCATGCATTCGTCAAATGACAGACCGTGGATAGTATGGGTAACATTTATTTTAAAAAGATTATTAGTAATTTGTTATTGAACTCCCCATACTCAGCTAAATATGGTTGTGTCACGAGTGAGCTCACCACAATAGTCGAGCGGCGGGGACCGAACCCGCGTTCCCCGGATCACGAGTCGGCCAGTCCGATCAACATTATTTGCTGATTTGAATGTAAATGCTTTCCGGTAAAATTAAATTATAAGCTGTGTTTTCTATCTAACATGTATAGACATGTATAGTGCCCCATAAGGGCTACCTTTTTCTTTTTTTTTATTATTATTTACTATACAGGGTGTTAGGTAAATGGGTATATGAGCCGAGACTAGCCCATGTTAACATACTCATATAAATACTATAGTGGTGTCAGAAAGTGGATATCGTAATATTTAATAAAATATATTTTCCCATACAAAACTCAATAAATTATTATTATTTAAATTTTTGGACAGCCCTACGATCGCGCAACTCCCTCCTAGGTCAAACGTGGTCAAACGGTATTTCATTCACAAATTTTGACGCGAGTCGGCACCGCCCACTTTTATTATTACTTTTGAACCAATTCTTCACTTACCTCTTTTTATTGACTCTGCAAGCAATCCAAGGTATTCAGGGGGTAACACTTCACTCTAATTCACAAAACGAATCGCAACACATCTATCACATCCATCCACTCACTTAATTCACCTTCCCACGCTTTCAAGTGACCGGGTAGGTTCTTGTAGTGAAATCCTATTTTCAAGAACGGGATCTCCGGGTCTCCCTTCGGTGGTATGGTGGTGTCGATTCACCCACCCGCGAAAACATTTACAAGGCATCGTGGAACGGAAGGTCTCCCGGAAATAAATCGTTCATCACACTAAAGAAGACACAAAGTCCTATTGCACCAACACCACTCAACACACATCACCATAATTTCACTGTATTACTTAGCTATTTGAATATCTAATTATCCAGAACGTCAACAACAAAACATCGCAACGAACGCAAATTATTTACTGACAAAATAATGTAAACAAATAAACATGGCCGCATGGCGCGGTGCAACTAGTGCGGGGTCATTATTTTTTCCATAAAATCGGTAATCGATATTGATATTACAAAAAATCGATTAAAATATCAAATTGTTTGAAAACCATCTGAGTAATCAATAGGAATGTCTTAAAATCAATTATCGATTAATTGATAGATCCTACCTACCTGAAATCGCTCATACTATCGATGGGTCTAAATTAGTTTAACGATACCATTGCATTGATAGAAGACATTGAAAAAAAAAAGACATTTCGTTGTCCTTCAAAGATTAAACAGTGCGTTGGACACATTTCTTTAATGCCTAAGGTTTTTTTTCAATGGTGTCTTATTTTTAGTTAAGGTATTTTTAGTACACAATATCGTGATTTACGATGATAAAATTTAAATGATTACCTACAATGTCTCATTTTCCTTAATCAAAGTTATCAAGTTTAATGATTCGTTCGTTCATTCATTTCAGCCGAATGACGTCCACAATGAACGGTCCTGATTATTCAGTTTATTTTAATAAGTAAGTCTATGAAGTAAAATTAATTCTTGACCACTTTGTTTACTTTTACTTATCCAAAATCCAAATCGAATCAAATAAGGTAAGGGGGTATTTGACTTGTGCTAAATCTTTTTAGATGGACTGATTTTCCTGGGGGATTGCTTAAGGTTTTTGCCTCTCAGAGACAAATTTTTAGGCAGAAAATTATAATGAATTCTGTTATTTGTTTTATCTACGCTAGTTTGTCGTACTATTAATTTTCAGGGGTGTCACGACGCAAATTGGCGACAAAAACTGAATCAGCTGATTACTCAATAATGGTACCTTTCCCAGACTTTCTGACACCACTATAGTATTTATATGAGTATGTTAACATGGGCTGGTCTCGGCTCATATACCCATTTACCTAACACCCTGTATTTTGACGTTCATAAGTGCCACTTGTGGTCTAAACTGAATAAATATTTTTGATTTTGATTTTTTTTTCTTCCCAGGTGGAGTCCGAAGAGTGTGACACGAAGATGCACGTACTACACGTGGTGTCTTACATAATGGAACGCTGCGGCGCGCACGTGGCACGTGGAGGTGGCACAGGCGCTTTGTTTGCGTACTTACCCCAGTTATGGGGGCACGCGGCGTCTGCGCACCATAATATGCTGCGAGCAGCCGCGCTTGCAGCTATACATCATCTACTGAAGGTATGTGTGAGTTCGGGTGACCTCGGCTAATGTCGGGTATCTTATTATTGCAGCGCTCTGATCCCGAGCGTCTTCGGACGTGAAGTCAATGACCTTTCGATGCTGCGTTCGTGCTCCTTCGTCCTTTTTCGGTTGTCATCGGCTATCAGGGCACGTTTGAAGCTCCTTCCTCTTTCATACACCTTCGGCTGACCTTCAAAGACAGCTTGAATATGCATTTTCTAACGTTTTTCGAATAGCAAGTACAGGTCTTCTGTTCGCGTACCTACCACAGCTGTGGGGATACGCGGCGTCTGCGCATCATAATATGCTGCGAGCAGCTGCGCTTGCAGCTATACATCATCTTCTGAAGGTAAATGGTCTGCTGCAATATAGCTTTACTACCAGCTGAAGAAAAGTGCTAAACTCGTGAACTTTCGAGCGCGTGTTCGGTCTCTGTCGGCTTTTTTCGAGTGTCATCGGCTGTGAGACATCAACTTTTGGGTGCGCGTTCGGGCTTTTCGGCGATCTTCAGCTGTCAGCGTGCGTTTCGGACGCAAGAAGAATTATCTTTGCAGTGTGTTGCAGTGCTCGCGAGGGCAATGAACTTTCAAGCGTGCGTTCGAGTGCCTTCGGCTTTTTCCGGCTGTCATCGACTGTCAACACGCGTTTGAAAATGATCACCTCATCTAATGAGGTCTGAATTTTTTTTAACCTTTTATGTCGCTGAGATCATACGTTTTCTTTTCTGTCATTTTTCGTAACTTTTAGCGATTTGATCATCAAGATATGTTCAGCAGTGGACGTCCTGTGGCTGAAATGATGATGATGATTAGTATAATCAGTCCATCGGCGAATATCATCATCGGTATTATGTTTAGCCTGCCGTATTAGACACTTTAGCTGGGCCTCTAGCACCATGATCGTTTAACGATATAACTACTTTGTTACTGTAGGTATAAAAGATACACAATACAATTCTCCTTCCAGGCGCTAGGCGAATGTTCTCCCACCATCCGACCATGGATCCTGAGCGTTGTGAACGAGTCCACCAAGCTATCGGAACCGGCACACGTGTATCTTCTTGAAGATGCTTTAGAGCTATGGCTGGCCATACTGGAGACGTCACAAGTGGCCGATCCGCCTCTATTACAGCTGGCTGATAATCTTTATCCGATATTAGGTAAGTTAAAAAGAAATTAAGAAAAAGTATCACTAACTGCGACTCTTTTAAGTTCATGCAAATTAAAAGCTTTGTGATCGCGTAACCAGCACTGTTGGACGTGAAAAAATAAATTGATATTGTACGTGTAACGTGCGTGTAATTAAAACGTGAGTTGATGGCGCCTGAAAAACGTATGCACGGGCCCTTAGAAAGTAAGCTAAAATGGTGTCATTGAAGCAAATTACTCGATTAAACTTGGCAATTAATGATGCATTAAACTTCCTGTATAGGTAAAGAGAAGTAAGAGAAGAAATTTGCTTACAAACTTATGCGCATGGCCATCAGAATCTGCTGTTTTCTAAGCTTAACATGTATTTATTTACAAAAAGTATTTGAACATGTTTCCTTCGTTATCCAGGTATAAGAACCGACAGCAAGTTTATTAAATTTAGGACTAGACAGCGCTAAATAAAATATCCAAACCCATTTAAATCCTTATTCCATCGCCCACAGAACAGTCTTCCGAGCACCTCCGAATCGTGGTCTACATAATGCAAGCCTACACTCTTCTCTGCCCAGAAGAGTTCCTCCTTGGCCCTGGAGGGAAGTGCATGGCCCTCCTAGACGAGTTACTAGCGGACATGCGGACTGAAGGAGTGATTACCGTGTTGAAAATGGCGGAGATTTGCATCAGCGTGACGTTTCCGGAGCGGAACGCGTTCTTGGGAGTGAAGGTCATATGGCCGATACTGATTAGGGTTATACAGTGAGTATTGGCTTCATTTGTTTATTCGTTTGAATTTTCATACTGTCATTTGTTGGCTAATATTGTTTTTACGTTATGTAACGAATTTACCATCTTACTACTTAATAATCATAACATATTTTGTGACTAATTCGAAATTCGAGAAATGCTAATTTAATCTTCGGCGACCGCTGAATTTGTGGTAAAAACCTATACCCGTAAGCGTATTTAGTTAGAGGAGTGTAACAGAGATATTAGGATTCCTCAGGCTATGGTCTTAAGGTCTGCATTTGCGCGGCGCTACGTGCACTGCACTACGCATCAAAATATTTTCTCACAATAAGCAACTGTGCTTCATAAAATATGACTGAAAGAATAATTTGACGTTTTTTGTCGCGTCGTACAGTGTAGCTGCGCCGCGCAAATGCGGTCTCTTAAACTATTCAGCTTAATAATCTTCTCGGAAGTTTAATAAACGCCAATAAAATTAAATAAAAAATAACTTACCTTTAAGTACCAGCAAAAAAATCAACTGCCAATTCCGCTATACGTTTTTTTTTTCGGGGAATAATACATTGAATTGCATACCTACCCTACGGGGACAGGGTAGGTTATGTGGGGCTCACCAAGTCAGAAGGACAAGGCATACCCACTAAAAGACCCCGGTGCTCCATCATTCGCCTTAAGTGGGAAGGAATTGTGGGATTCCGGACAAAGCCTTCACTACCACAGTCCCTCCCGGCGATTGCCCGCTATACTTACCTCAACTCTTTGTTGCAGTTTACTCCTAGACACCAATGACCTCCCAATGGTCCTATCAGTGCAGCTGTGTTTAGTATCGCGAGTGATCCTGCTATCCTTGGAGCTGTTTAAGCAAAAACAAACCTTAGAGCCTCTATTATAACTGCCAATTCCCCTTACCTCAGCAACGAACTCCCAATGGTCCTGTCGTCCTAATAGGAAAAATAAACCTACGAGCGTCTATTATAAATATCAATATTCCCTAAACATACCCTTATTTGTTCCAGTTTACTCCTAGATACCAATGACCTCCCAATGGTCCTATCAGTGCAGCTGTGTTTAGTATCGCGAGTGATACTGCTATCCTCTGAGTTATTCTACAAGGCGATACAAGAGGCGTCAGTCGGACTGGTGGAGTATGACTCGGACCCGGCTAAAGTCCTGGCCAGGTTAGTATTACTCGTCGTCGTTTCAGCCGAAAGACGTCCACTGACAAAGGCCTTCCCCAAGGATTTCCACAAAGACCGGTCCTGCGCCGCTCGCATCCAGGCACCTCCCGCGACCTTCACCAGATCATCGGTCCACCTAGTGGGAGGCCTGCCCACGCTACGTCTTCCGGCTCGTGGTCGCCACTCAAGAACTTTCCTGCCCCAACGGCCATCAGCTCTTCGAGCTATGTGCCCGGCCCACTGCCACTTGATTTTAGCGATTCTGCGGGCTATGTCAGTCAAAATCAAAATCAAAATCAATCAAAATCAAAATTTTTCTTTATTTGTTTAGACTAATTAAATTAGTTCTTGCAAATCGTCAAATGCTCTTAAGGAGCCTATACATGTCTCATTCTTTTTTTGCCCTACCAGCGCTTCGAGACAAACATTTGGCAAGTGCTGAGAAGAAGCGCCGCAACAAACTCAGTCACCACTGTCTGCCGGTTTAAAAATATAAAAAAGTAGGAAGTTACAATACATTCGGAAGCAAGTTACTTACCACGCGCTCCCGTTGATTCTTTCGCCTTTAAGAGAAGAAAGCGCCGCAACAAACTCAGTCACCACTGTCTGCCGGTTTAAAAATATAAAAAAGTAGGAAGTTACAATACATTCGGAAGCAAGTTACTTACCACGCGCTCCCGTTGTAGCACGAGACCGCGTGGCAGTTTTGAATATATTTATTTAGTGCCGTGCTAATTTCTAGGTTAATTGTTGCGTTTTGATACATATATATTTTATGTCAGGTATATCTTTCCTTGACCAGTCCCCGAAGGCAGCTCCTGTTCACAGACATGACGTGTGAACCAGCCATCGCTTCACTCGACCATATTATAGGGAATGTAACGACCCGCCTCACACGCCACTAAAACTCATCACGTCACTCTCGTCACTCTGGTTCTCCTGCGGATCTCCTCATTTCTGATTCGATCACGCAGGGAAACTCCGAGCATAGCACGCTCCATCGCTCTTTGGGTGACCTTGAGCTTTGAGTATTACTCGTATACAGACAAATTCAAAGTCAAAATATGCTTTATTCTTCAACCACACCAATGCGTGCAGATCGCCATAGCCGGCGCGATCATAGGCGAATGACCTGTCGCGTGACCTGTCGTTGGTGTGGTCGAAGCTTTATTTGTTCCGACTTCGATTTCTACTTCGCTCTAGCTAAATGTGTGCAAGCGAGACAGCACTTGTCAGTCAAACTACGCAAGATATCAACGCGAAAAGCGTATAAAGATACAAATCTTTGCTCATGTTGATCGTCTCAATTCTAGTAAATAGTGTCCCATACTGTTGATGCCGTAAAATTGTTACGTTTTTAATAATATGCTTGCTTGTTCACTGATAAATTGTATTATTTTTAGGTTTCTACACGTTTGGACAGACAAAATGAACCTAGTCACGCAGGTCGAAAGGTGGAAAGTTGTTGGTGAGTTCTAAATTAATAAACCNCTGCCGGTTTAAAAATATAAAAAAGTAGGAAGTTACAATACATTCGGAAGCAAGTTACTTACCACGCGCTCCCGTTGTAGCACGAGACCGCGTGGCAGTTTTGAATATATTTATTTAGTGCCGTGCTAATTTCTAGGTTAATTGTTGCGTTTTGATACATATATATTTTATGTCAGGTATATCTTTCCTTGACCAGTCCCCGAAGGCAGCTCCTGTTCACAGACATGACGTGTGAACCAGCCATCGCTTCACTCGACCATATTATAGGGAATGTAACGACCCGCCTCACACGCCACTAAAACTCATCACGTCACTCTCGTCACTCTGGTTCTCCTGCGGATCTCCTCATTTCTGATTCGATCACGCAGGGAAACTCCGAGCATAGCACGCTCCATCGCTCTTTGGGTGACCTTGAGCTTTGAGTATTACTCGTATACAGACAAATTCAAAGTCAAAATATGCTTTATTCTTCAACCACACCAATGCGTGCAGATCGCCATAGCCGGCGCGATCATAGGCGAATGACCTGTCGCGTGACCTGTCGTTGGTGTGGTCGAAGCTTTATTTGTTCCGACTTCGATTTCTACTTCGCTCTAGCTAAATGTGTGCAAGCGAGACAGCACTTGTCAGTCAAACTACGCAAGATATCAACGCGAAAAGCGTATAAAGATACAAATCTTTGCTCATGTTGATCGTCTCAATTCTAGTAAATAGTGTCCCATACTGTTGATGCCGTAAAATTGTTACGTTTTTAATAATATGCTTGCTTGTTCACTGATAAATTGTATTATTTTTAGGTTTCTACACGTTTGGACAGACAAAATGAACCTAGTCACGCAGGTCGAAAGGTGGAAAGTTGTTGGTGAGTTCTAAATTAATAAACCTTATTTTTAATTTTAATAAATACCTTATGATGACCTATTATAGCGACTTAATATGTTGAAGACAGTTGTACATTTATTTGATTTATTTTTAAACACGTGACAAATGTCAATTTTCAAAAACGTATTACTAAAATACATCGCTTAGACCTAGATTGTAATTTTGAAATATGTGTTATTAAAAAAGCAAGGTGGGTATATCAGTACTATAAGAGGCCAGTAGATCTATTCTCATAAAAAAACACTGGATACTTTCACATTATACTGCCTTATTTTAAAGTTAAATACAATTCATCACTTAGCACAAAAGCGCGGCGAGTCGTCCCCGCGCGTCCCTCTATTCTAACGTTTGATTCTAGCGTGACATTGACATTACGTCAATGTCACTAACAGGTAACAGCATCTTATTGGCCACAACGATACCGTTATTTTAACGTTGTAGATTTTTCATAATTAACAGTACATAGTTAACCGCATTATGCATTTTATTATACAGATTTTCATCATTTATCAAAATTAATGAAATGATTCTTATCCAGGTCTCGGTTTGGCGGCGCTTCTTACGACGCAGAACCCGACGGTGCTACAACGGTTCCCAGCAATCCTGCTTAACCTCACGGAGGTGTTGAATGACGTCATGAAGACGGAGGACAATGGCACGTATGTCGAGTGAGTTAGAGTTTATTTTCAATGTTACTGTATACCTATTTAAAATCATCCAAGTGTAGTGTCATAGTTATCATTACATGTCATTTACACCCGTATTCACAAACAAAGTCAAAGTCAAAATTTCTTTATTTGTTTAGACTAATAAATAGTTCTTACAAAACGTCATTTTGCTCTTACGGAGCCTCTACATGTCTCATAATCTTTTTAAACGATGCTTGCTTCGAACGCACAACGTTGAATAGAGCTCTGTGACTGGTACGTGTGTGATCCTGTGCGTCCAAGCGCACTGTGAGACCTCATAGTAATGTTTGTGAATACGGGCGTTAGTTTCTACTAGTTCAGTAGTGTAAGAGCACGGCTCTGTCTATTTTACTAGAGATTTAGCCTACGTTCCCCACGCTGACTATTTGGGGTGGCCTGATGTTTTACGTATTTGTCTCCTAGTCGCCTTTTACAGCATCTATGTGAAGACCGGTAGTGTTCCTGTTCTGTACCAGAAATGTGCGATAAAAGTCATAGAATAAGGTTGGCTACACACTTAAACTGGCCGGCACTAATCGGCTTAGCCAGGCTTTAAAATAGAATATGTGTATGTGGAAAAAACCGCTCGGCTTTGCCGCGTATACACTAGCAAATGAAGCCGAACGAGCAGTAATTTTGTTGAATAGACTTTGTTGTTCAACAAATAGTCCTAAACCGGCAACGCTGGCCTGTGTACTACACTTATAAGCAAAAGTATGGAATCACCCCCTTGTGTTTTGTTCCGAGCCATCTTAAGAACTGAATGCCTATGAATGTATCTATGGTATCAATTTAAAGTATTTAATATTACCTTTAAAATGGTACCATTTTTATTCATCTTCTATTAGTCATTTAGTTCTTACGATCGTTTGTAACAAACAGGATGTAGTGTATGTATATCGATATAGGTACTAACTACGGGAGCAAATTGATAACACGGTGGTCCGCGACTGACTGGTTTATTTAGAAAAGAAACGCAGCGCGTCGACACTCGATACAATATAGATGCGTAGGTATAGCTATACCATGAATACATCACACAGGATGATCCCATACATTTGCTCGAGAGTGTAGTTTTGACGACTACGTTTTAGCAGAGTAAATAGAAATGAGTAGGTTATCTTCATAGAAACGCACCGAGCACGGTTTGTATGTCAGCGCGCCACAATACGAATGCGGCGCGCACGCACACACTGACAAAATTCGGCGCAACTACGACTGGCTCCCCGATAATCCACGATAAATTTTGTCAGTGTGTGCGTGCGCGCCGCATACGTATTGGCGCGCTCACATACAAACCGCGCTCGGTGCGTTTCTATAATGGATGATGGTTTTAGCAAATAAATAATTCTCATTCTCTATGTCCAGTGGGCTGGTAGCCCCGCCCGGGTCGCGACCGGCGTCGCCGCTAGAAGGCCGCGGAGGCGCCGCTCGCTGGGGCCAGGCGCCGCCGCCCGACTCGCCGCACGAGCTGCGCCGGCGCCGGTTGGCCGCCGCTCATCCCGCCCACGCGATTGATCTGCGCGCCGTTACGCATCATCAGGTGAGACAAAGTTCTTATTTAGAAAGAAAGAAACATTTATTGCCTGGACATCACAAAAGACAAAAGAGGTAAAATGAAAAAAAAAAAAAAAGCAAATAAGACAGAGGTGACATAAAACATACAATGAATGAGCAAGTAGACTAAGCAGTGCCACCCTGTCGCACAGCGATGCCCATCGCAATGGGACCCCACTCAGCATATGCCGTGGCCCCCGGTGAGGGAAGCCACGACGCTGGTTTTCAGTGTGCCCCATGCCGAGTGAGAGTCACGGACACTAACCTATACTGCATAAAATATACATACATAAATAATAATAAC